AAGAATATGTGACCTCCAGACCAGCTCTGCAAGAAATTTTAAGGGGGACTCTTAAAACGCCCCTTTAAGAAGAAGTTCAGTGGAACAATCCACAAAAACAAGGACTAAATAGATATCATGATGACACTAAACTCATATCTGTCAATAGTAACTCTGAACGTGAATGGGCTTAATGACCCCATCAAAAGGCACAGGGTTTCAGACTGGATAAAAAAGCAGGACCCATCTATTTGCTGTCTACAAGAGACTCATTTTAGACAGAAGGACACCTACAACCTGAAAATAAAAGGTTGGAGAACCATTTACCATTCAAATGGTTCTCAAAATATACCCTAAAAACTACAGAACACTTCTGAAAGAAATTGAGGAAGACACAAAGAGATGGAAAAATATCCCATGCTCATGGATTGGCAGAATTAATATTGTGAAAATGTCAATGTTACCCAGGGCAATTTACACGTATAATGCAATCCCTATCAAAATACCATGGACTTTCTTCAGAGACTTAGAACAAATTATTTTAAGATTTGTGTGGAATCAGAAAAGACCCCAAACAGCCAGGGGAATTTTAAAAAAGAAAACCATATCTGGGGGCATCACAATGCCAGATTTCAGGTTGTACTACAAAGCTGTGTTCATCAAGACAGTGTGGTACTGGCACAAAAACAGACACATAGATCAATGGAACAGAACAGAGAACCCAGAAGTGGACCCTGAACTTTATGGTCAACTAATATACGATAAAGGAGGAAAGACGATCCACTGGAAGAAAGACAGTCTCTTCAATAAATGGTGCTGGGAAAATTGGCCATCCACATGCAGAAGAATGAAACTGGACCACTCTCTTGCACCATACACAAAGATAAACTCAAAATAGATGAAAGATCTAAATGTGAGACAAGATTCCATCAAAATCCCAGAGGAGAACTCAGGCAACACCCTTTTTGAACTTGGCCACAGTAACCGGAGAAGGACAAACAGTGTATGTTCTCATTCATTTGGGGAATATGAATAATAGTGAAAGGGAATATAAGGGAAGGGAGAAGAAATGTGTGAGAAATATCAGAAAGGGAGACAGAACATAAAGACTTCTAACTCTGGGAAATGAACTAGGGGTGGTGGAGGGGGAGGAGGGCGGGGGGTGGGGGTGAATGGGTGACGGGCACTGAGGGGTACACTTGACTGGATGAGCACTGGGTGTTATTCTGTATGTTGGTAAATTGAACACCAATAAAAATTAATTTATAAAATTAAAAAAAAATAAACTGTTGTGAATTTGATCCCTTCATGTTGAAATAATCTTTTTTTTTTTTTTTTAACTTAGAAACTGCTTCTCTGGGATTTAATTATGCTGTTGCCCTCTCTCTGTTTGCATGAGATCATTAAGCTGGATAGTTTGTTTCTTTGACAACAGAACATTTTGAGCAACCAGATTAAATTAGGGGGCAGATTCAGGGCACCCATCACTTGATGTTGTAACTAGGAATCTACATATAAAAACAACAAGGAAGAGCTAAAAGTCATGCTTGGAGTATTCTTTCAAAGGCTTGAGATAACAGGAATGCCGGTTGATATGTGAAAGCCACAATATTACATTATGCTTCAATTTTATTTTCACTTGCTTATTGAACCTACCTTGACGCCAGATGGGAAAGTGAGTTTTTAATGAGTGAGATGAAATATTTATCAAAGCTGAATTATACAAGTTTTGATCAGAAGCCAAATAGTTGAAGCATATCAAGTCTCCTTTAAGGAAATACATACAGGTTTATGCATGTATTATATTCATTGCAGGATATCAATAATGGAAGAACTGGTTACTGACCTAGAACTTATTTCCAAAATATTTGATTGAAGAGATCTACATCTGAGCTGCCAACCTCCTTGTATAAGACTAGCACAAAATGTTAAGCTTTCTGTGTTGTAGTGCATTTATTGATATAGATGTCAAGGATATGTATACATGAGGTTTCAAGCATAAATCATCTTGCAAAATAGTGGTGCTATTTATGAGACGGATTATCCTTCAGCACATAGTTGTACTGCATTTATTAGTCATTGGTGTTTACACAGCACTGCAACATTGGGGCTTTCATGCTACCTTGAAGCAGCCCTGAAGTTAGAGTTTATATTTATTTTGCAGAGTGGGAACCTTGAACTCTGTACTCAAAATTGTATGATTTTCCCACTCCCAGGAAGCCACAAGGCTTGGGATGTGAACTCTGCTTTTCTGGCGAAAGTCCAGGGCATTCTTGGCCCTCCTCACCTCCACCCACAAACATGGGGGGTCACTTACATTTGTGATGTCTGTATGCAAAGTACATATCTATTGTAGTTTTATTTCAGCCATAGGAGAGAGGTGACTATGTTTTAGTAGTAAAACTGTGAGATTCCCAGTGTATGATAGAAAGAGAATCATGGTTTAAGGTCACGTACACAAATTCCATCCCTTTGGCAGCCTGTACTTTGATCCTTCTAATGGCCACTTTTCCACAATTTGGGCATGACGATTTCTAGGCTTATACTATTATAGGCTTTTGAAACAGTGATAAAGCTGCAATCAAATAAGACCATGATGTTAAAAGTGGCTGTATGTTCTTTTCAATATTACCTTCTAATAGTATTATTCCTATTAGTTGTTTACGAAAAAAAGGTAATTTTTATAATGAACAAATTCCACCAATATCTACTGATAGTATGAATTTATTTTAAAAAATTATAGGGGTGCCTGGGTGGCTCAATTGGTAGAGCATGTGACTCTTGATCTTGGGGTTGTGAGTTCAAGCCCCACATTGGGTGTGAAGCATGCTTAAAAAAATAACTATTAAAAATATTATATATATGTAATATGTATTTCTTCAAATGTACTTTCTAGGCATGTACCAAATTGTTAACAGTGACCATCTTTGTATTATGGAACTGGAAGGGGCCTCTTCATTCAGTTGTGAAATGCCATGGAGAAAGGAACCTGATTCTTTGGCTGAATTCTATAAACATAGGCTAGTTACATAAATTATTTAGATATATTTATTATGTAAAGAAAATTGTTTCACATATTTTTAATGCATTTGAATTTTTATTCTACAACACAAGCAACATAAATACAATCTTTTAAAATATTTTCTCTTTAGAATTTTCGTTTTCACCTCAGATAAAATGTACACAAAATACACTTGCAAGCTTGCTTACAGGGACCTGTTAAACAATGAACAGACAAATTCTATCAAACAGTTTATCAACATATAAAGGAGGATAGTTTCAGGGTTTTAAAAAAATATTAATGTGAGCAACTGATTAAATAAGGCGGCAAATTAAAATTATATTTCCTTGACAAGTCCTTTGGAGTAAACAAAATGCTTCAAGGCTCCTGGTGAATGGGATTGCAAGGATGAATTCTGCATTTTATAGATAAAATGATATACTGACTCAAATAATTATGGCTATACCACGCTTTACTTACAATTTTTATGCATGAAAACAAGTCAATTCTTTGGCATAATACAAGAAGGGATAAAAGAACCCTTACCACCTTCTGGCTTTATTTATAATGGGAAGTGGTAGTAGGGGAACTGTTTATAATGTAATTTATTTCTCTTAGAAATGCAGGAAAATAATCTTGAATAATAACTTTTTGGCATGATTAGGGCAATAAACATCTTATTCTTAGCTCCCTTCCTCCCACCCCCACCCATCCACTGAAAACAAATCAACAAACAAAAATAAGTGAAATTACTCTTTCCCTCTAGGCACCTGCTCCTGCCCCTATCATGCCATACCTGGATATCCTACCATATGGTTTCAATTGAAGTGAAACCAAAAATATCAAAATCATTAATCTTTGTCCAGTTTTGCCTATTTAGCAGGAAACCAATTTTTATTACAGAGGACAACTTCCAACAAAATACAGATGAAAGAACTGCCAAGGGAGGAATACAAAGTAGCCTGCAAATGATCATGAGGTAGTCATGGATGACCACTGGTGGCTGGTAGTGTCAGGGCTTGAGATTCCCTAACTTGAAAACATATTTTATGTGGTAGCTCAAAAGATTGGATTTTAGATTCCCCCCTCCCTTTTTTGGCACCAATTGGTAAAATAAGTTGGGACTAAGATTATTCCCAGAGATTAGTATTTTAAATTTAACTTGAAAATCAATTGCTATTAAAAGAGCTAAAAGCACACATAATTTCCAAAATGGATTATGGAAAACAAAAGTATAATAAAACTCTTCAATTATTTCCATCCACAGAGGCAAGAACTCGACTCTTTAGTACCATTAACACTTTGATATGGTTTCTGATCTCACTAAATCTAGTAAATACTGTAATTATCTTCTCATACAAAAATCTAAATTAATTTAAACAATGTTAGGGTATTGAAGCAGAATGTTTTAAAGAAACTTAAATCAATAAGAAGTATATGTAATTAATATAGCTTATACTCGGATGATAATTTAAAGGTTCTTAATTTTTTTCTCTTGAACTATTCCGTGAACCTTTTTTTAATGCAAGAAAAGAATTTCCAAGGCTAATTAATCAAAGAAAATGTTAGGAAATCAACTAAGGCCCCACCTACACTTGAGTTAACATGATTTCATTGTATTCCCAAAGCATATTGATACATGTGTACATTTCTCCCATAATTGGAAAACGAGGAGTGTGGTCTCCACTGTGCAGATATGAACAGAAACACATTTACTGAAAAGTCCTTAAAACAGGCACATGTACTGCTAAAAGGGAGTTATTCAGTTTCCAAATTTTCATGAAACCACTTGGTAGACTCTTTACAGGTACACGGGAAATGAAAATATTTACACCAGACAGTTAAGTGAAAGATGAAGGTACATCAAGTAGTGTAATATCATTTTGACGTGTTGATATTTGGGTGACTAATGAGAGAGAGAAACCTACTAGCAAGCAAGCAATGACTCAAAAACCTCTGGAAGCCAGGAGCCAAGATTGCAACAGAGCTGAGATGGAAATATTAAAACTGTATGACAGAAGAAACTCAAACACTGTGTATTTAAATTTAAAATCACCTCAGTACAAGTCAAAGGGTCAACATGATACAAATGATCATCCATAGAACCAGTGTTTCTAAGTACAAAGACGAAAAGCTTACACAGATCTCACTGTCCCATTGAACTGATACATTCATTGTCTTTGAGCTTGTAAAAAACCGAATTGTTGGTATAATAAACCTAGAAACTGGGAAGGTTGAATAGGAATGCTGTAGAGAATCCAATCCCAAGTTGTCTGCCCAAGGTTGTTTGTTGTTTTCTCTAGAGCTTGATAAGTCAGGCTGATCTTAAAGGTAGTAGCTGGAAAATTTTTCAAGGCAGTTCTCAGAGTATGGTCCCCAGACCAGCAGCATTGGCCTCACCTGGGTCCTTGTTAGGAAAGCAAATTTCCAGACCTACTGAATTGGAAACCCTGGGCATGGGCCCAACAACCTGTGTTTTAACAAGCCCTCCAGGTGATTCTCATGTGTGCTAAAGTTTGAGAACCACTTTAGAACAAAGTCAAAAGTACCACACAACCACTACATAAACCTTCAGGATAGGAACTAATAGTACAAACAATTCTTGGTGATTGAAAGCCTGGAAGGAGCATAAGTGGATGGGATTCACCCGCAGTTGACTACGGTTTTGTCACGAAGATGGTCAGCCAGTCTCTCCTCCCTGGAACTCTCATGCATTATTGTACAAAGATAGAGGGGAAAGGTTTTGTATGGTGCTAGTGGTGTGGCATTGAGTTTTCTTCAATTAGTAAGTGGTGCCATCATTTATATGGAAATTGAGCATTATTCCCAACTGAGTTTCTCATAGATTATCCCCGGGGATAATTTTTTTGGTCTGTTTTCCCTGAAGCAATAATTGTGTTTTGGAAATCTAAATGGTGTTCTAGTCCAACACTTTGTATTAAACTATTTGTTACTTCCACATCAAATACAAACATTATAAGCAGAGGAAGAGGATCTCACAAAAGGAGAGACAATTTTCTAGATTGCTTCACTATGAGGGAGGAGAACACAATTTTTCTTGATGAAGCATAATTATGAGTTCTATACTAGTTTCATAAAGCTTGCCCAATAACAAGTTCATATTTCCAATAAAAAGTGCTTAAAAAGAGTCTCTTGCTTTTTTAAGGCCACACTAAATGTCACTAGGATCACCTAAGTGGTACCCATGCATATCTAAGTTTTGTTATTCACTTAATGAAACGTGTTGGACTTTTTTTTCTGCCTGTCTCCGCAGAATATGCAGAAATATTTAGGCATGTGGCACATGGTTGCTATGGATATTGACCTGATGCCCTCAGTACCCGGATCTTTAAACAATCTTGTCTTACCCGTTGCTGCCTCTTCGGAAAGAGTGCATTTGAAAACTGGTTAGAATTTATTTTGCATATTCCCAAACTTTGATGATGACTTACGTATTTGCTACTGTACACTTCCCAGGGAAGCAAGTAGAGAGGCACTGTTGGCTACAGGGCACTTTATTCTGAGTGATTAAATTGAACCAACCTTGCATGTCATTCTGGCCACAGACTGCCATGCTTTTCTGCATAACAGCTGGCCATGAACAATATTATTCTATCATTTCCAACTAATTTGGCAAGTTTTGTAAATTACCTCCGAGGGCCTGCTTGAAGATTAAAGTTCAGACCTTATTTTATTTTCAAACACTCAAAATATTATGTTATATATGATCTTTCTATGTAAAGCTTTTTCTTTTTTTTTTTTTAAACCTTACTTGAAAAATTCCCATAACATAGCAGATCTGGGATGTCAATCAGATATTTTCCACTCATTTTAACTGTTTAATTCCTTAAAACACTAAAGTGTTTCCCCTGTGCTTTTAGAGCACAATGTTGTAGAGCATGGCCTTTGAATTTAGGAACACCTCTCTCACAACCAGCTTTGCCATTTACTGGTTATCTCAGGCAAATTTCTTAACCTTTCTGGGTCTGTATCCTCAGCTGAACAAAAATGAGGAAATCTATGCCTATTTGACAAGGTCATTGTGAAAATTAAATGCTAATGTAGATAAAGGGTCTACATTCACAGTGGCATTCGACAAATGTCACCGCCTCCCTGCTGTTTATAACCTCTTGTGGTTATCAGCTCCAAACAAAGGTCTTCATTCTGCTTAGTTTGATGGGTGGACACAAATGGATTTTCTTTCTGAGAAAGAAAACTGTCTTACCTAAGCAGTCTTGTGATGTATTTGGGGAGAGTCAGGGATATCTATTATACAATCACATTACCTTCTTATGGTTAAGGCCATTTGACTTTCTCCACTCACTCTGTATAAGCCTCTTCTTAAAACAAGAACTAAAAGCCTGGAGGTATCATACCAAGAGGCTTCCACTTAAAGGTACTTTTGAATTTTGTTAATATTTTGTCATGTTTGATTGCAAATATTTTAATCTGAGCTATGTGTGTTAACATCTGCCTTGGTCAGTCATTAAATAGCATAAAGATGGTAGAAAATGCCCTAGTTTTGTATTGATGGAGAAGGCTAGAAAATAATCGTAAGGGGAGAGAGAATAAGATGTTGTAAAGAGGCAGCCCAAGCATTTTTAAAAGCTAATCAGGAGAGGCAAGAACTAGGGGAAATCCTAGAACTCCATCAAACCTATGCTCTTAGGGCAAGGAGAAATCTGATGATGAGTGTGGTCTACCTGGCTGTCAGGAATTCCTAAATACTGAATTTTCTAGATGCTTTCAAGATGCACTTTACCAAAATATTAAAAAATAAATCTCAACCTTAGGGTAACACACTTTTGGCAGTAAATATGGGCAATTGAAAGCAATGTGCAAAATCTTATTCTGCTTAGATCAGTAAATGTATGGTAAGAACTGTTTTAACCACAAAGGCCGTCTTGACCTTGGTCCTTCAGAGACCTTGGGAGAACGAGAGTGAAGGAAGAGAGCGGAAAAGGCAGAAACCAAGACAGCAGGAGAGTGTGAGAGGCTGACCTGGGCCGTCTGGAAAGGGAACCCTTGTCTACCTTGGTAGACAAGGGTTCCTCTCCACCCCTGGAGATGACAGACTTCATTGTGACCTGATGTTCTGTTTGTTAGAGATTATTTGCATCAGGCAATATCTTTTTTGACAATCACAGATACCTCTGGGAGGTATTATGGTGGTTTAGCTAACTTTCTTGTTGAAATCTGATGTGGATGTGAAGCACAGAGTATGCTGGGGACAGAGGTGGGTGGAGACCAATGTGGGCCATGGGGTAGGCTATAGAATAGATGATGGAAAGGGGTCAAAAACCTCTTAAAAATGGTAGGTAAAGAACTATGTACGTTTTCTCACTTTTTAATTCTTGAACGTACAGTTTATTTTCATAAACTAGCCTTGGATCTCATAATAGAGCGTCTATGGGAGAATGGATTCTGATTTCTAAGCAATTAACATACTCTAGGACATGACATTCTACACAGACAGGCTTCCCTCAAATTTTCATACTTTATAAGAGGTTGCTACATATAAACATTTCATAATCACTCTGATTTGATACTCTTCTCTAATGAAGCTTATTTCCCACCCCTAAAGTGAATTTTGGAGTCCTCATGGGCTCACAAAGGGGAACCAAATCTCAGAAAAGCAGTACATCTTGGTGGCTCTATTTCTTTTTGTGGCTTTTGTTAAAATAAAAAAAGTACCCAACTTTCAATTCTATTTCCAAAATATAACAATTTAAAAGTATAGAATACAGCTCATTACTATCCCAACAATTCACTGCTTGTTAAGATCAAGGAGTTGATTTGCTTCTAAACTTATTTGTCTAATGAGTAAAACCTGAAGGCAAAAAGAGTGTGTCATGGAACTGGAAATATATCTTCTGGACTCTGTGGTGATCTTTAGATGGTATAAGGAATGATGTGGTTCTTTCATATTGGCTAAATAAATCAGGGAACCCTGTCTTCATCTTAACCTTGTAGATAGTTACATATTTCGCAAGGAAGACAAAGTTTACAAATAACAGCACTTAATAAAGCTGTTAGTTGTAAATCCTTGCTTCTCTACCAAAGACTTGATGTTTCAATCATTATAATTTAGGAACTGTGAAGTATATTGTAAATAATATAAGGATTCCAAATTAATTTTCTAGTACTATCCAAAAGAAATGTCCATATAGAACAGCCATTTAGAAAGACCTCAGACAAAAGATAAATTTACTTGCCAGAGAGAACACATATTTTAAATTGAAAAACTTAATTTCCTAAATTTCATTGTGTCCCCTTCTCCATTAGTTATTTTTTCTTTTGAGACTAGAGCCTGTTTGCCTGACACTGTAATTTCACGTGATGGTTGTATAATATTTAAGGTTTAAAATGACTTCGTCCCAGTCTCCTTTCCCACCCCTTCCAGCTGTCTCCCTGCCACCCCACACTTCCTGCCCCGTTCCCTGAGAAGTCTGCTCACTGGATGGAGAACTGGAGGGTTCCTTGGAAAGGAACCCTTTCCTCCAAGGGTGTGGATACAAAAGGAGTTGCATTTAAATGTTTTGTTTTCTTAAAAACCCAATGTTCTGCCTTATGTTCAGATAGCTAGAGCATAAAAATGTCTGTGCAACAAGAAACTAAGGCACCATTTTTTTTTTCTTTCCCTTTCCTGTTTTGCCTTGGGAGCAAAAGCAGAGACTGGTGGGAAGCCAGGGTGGCAGGTCAGTCTTATGTCTCTTGGCGAGATCTGTATCAGCCACTATCACTGGGAGCTGTGTGTCAAAAGTTTCCAGGACACAGACTGAAAACCCTGCCAGGAAAGCATTTTATTCCTTTAGAAATAGGGAAATAAAGGCACAACAGTACCTTAAAAGAAGAAGTAAGTTGGTGAATACCAACCAGAAAATCTTGACAATTTAGGACAACTTTGAAATGTTCTGAAATATTTTACAGAGGAAGTCATCCCTTACTTGATTATGACACCCAAGAATATGTTTTTCCAGCTGTTGTCTTCCCTGCTAAGCCCATAACCATAATAGATATCTTCCTCCGATGAAGAACGTCTGCTACTAGATGCCTGAGTGCTTGCACATCAGCTTGACTTACCAGCGGATATTTTCTTAACAATTGCATTAAAACAAAACAAAACAAAACAAAACAAAACAAAAAACAAATGGACCAGTGAAGTGTTTTCAAAGGAGTAGTCCTTGAAAAGGGACTCTTTTGGGAATAGCATGGCAGGCAAAAGCACTGGGAAATAAACATCAAAATTTAGAAATGTGTCAAGGACTGAAGACTTTTCTGAAATAATGTGCAAAATCAGAGTATCGTTTGTGTCCTCTGGATACAAGGTGAGCGTCCAGAACGGCCCCAGTACTGATTAGCGAGGGAGCGGCCAACTGTTCACTGGTGACACGGACACTGGTTTCAGTGGGGCTGGTGGTGGGGAAGACGCCCTCCGTCGGGCTGGCAGGCACTCTCCGCCCTTCGCTCCTGTACTTCCTCACGGGGGCGCTCCTAGACGATGATGTCATAGACCCGGCCCACTCGGCCCAGCCATTCCCTCACAGCCTGGCGCACTCTGATGTCGGTCACGTGACAGGTCAGCTGGCTGATGCACGGGAACACGGCGGGCTGGAGGGCCGTGAAGGTCTGGTCCGGAAGGATCTGAATCTGGTTGAGGACTGTTAGCACCATGTTGGTCCATGCCTAGGAGAAAGGATGGAGGAGAATTAGCAGCTTTCTCCTCTGGATTCATTCGAACTCAGGTGTGGCTAAGCACTGCCAATTTGCAAATGAATTCTCCTAGGCTTTAGGTTGCAAATAAATCAGTCTGTACTAATGTAATGTGGCTAGAAGCCACTAATGTGGCTAAGTCGTCATTTTAAGTTCATATATACAAGGAATAGCAGAGACTCCTTTAATGTTAGGAATACCTTATTTTCAGGTTTCATGGACTCCAGGCATACCTTGTTTTATTGCATTTTACTTTACAATACTGTGGTTCCCAGACACTGCTTTTTCTTTTCTTCACCCCCCCCCTTTTTTTTAAATAAACTGAACATCTGTGGCAGCCCTGTGTTGAGCATGTCCATCGTTGGCACCATTTTTCCAACAGCATTTGCTCACCTCACTTTGTATCTCTGTCACCTTTTGGTAATTCTCACAATATTTGAAACATCTGCATTATTATTACTATTATTTGTTATGGTCATCTGTGATCAGTGATCTTTTAATGTTACTATTGTGATTGTTTCGGGGTGCCATAAATTGTGCCCATTAACTTAATCAATAAATGTGTCTGTTCTGATTGTTTCACTGACCAGTTCCCCCATTTCTCTCCTGCCCCTCATGCCCTTCTATTCCCTGAGACACAATAATAGTGACGTTAGATCAATTACTAACCCCACCATGGCCTCTAAGTGTTCAAGTGAAAGGAATAGTCACAGGTCTCTCCTTTTAAATCCAAAGCTAGAAATGATTATGCTTAGTGAGGAAGGCATGTTGAAAGCTGAGATTGGCACAAGAGTCTCCTTCTGGGCTAAGTTAGCCACACTGGAAATGCAGAGGGAAAGCTCCCGAAGGAAATTAAAAGTGCTACTCCAGGGAACACACAAATAAGAAAGAGAAACAACCTTAGCGCTGTTCTGGAGAAAGTCTGAATAGTCTTGATAAAAAAATCAAAGCAGCTACACCATTCATGTAAGTCAAAACCTAATTCCGAGGAAGGCCCTAACTCTCTTCAATTTTGTGAAGGCTGAGAGATGAGGGAGCTGCAGAAGAAAAGTCTGAAGCTAGCAGAGGTTGGTTCATAAGGTTTAAGGAAAGAAGCCATTTCCATAACAGAAAAGTGCAAGGTGAAGCAGCAAGTGCTGATGTAGAAGCTGCATTCTCCAGAAGGTCTACCTATGGTCATTCATGAGGGTGGCTACACCCAACAACAGATTTCCAATGTAGATGAAAAGAGGCTTCTGTTGAAAGATGTCATGTAGGACTTCATGGCTAGAGAGAAGTCACTGCCTGGCCTCAAAGGTCAGGCTGCCTCTCTGGTTAGGAGCTTACGTAGCTGGTGACTCTTGCGGTTGAAGCCAGGGTTCATTCACTATTGTGAAAATCCCAGAGCCCTTAAGAATTATGCTGAATCTGTTCCGCCTGTGTTTCATAAATGGAACAACAAGGCCTGGAATGACAGCACATCTGTTTACAACACGGTTTCTTGAATATTTTAAGCCCATTGTTGAGAACTACTACTCAGAAAAAAGGATTCCTTTTAAAATAATCCTGCTTATTGATAATGTGCCTGGTCACCCAAGAGCTCTGATGGAGATGTACAATAAGATTAATACTATCTTCATGCCTGCTAACACAACATCTATTCTACAGCCCTTGGATCAAAGAGTCATTTCTACTTTCAAGTTAATATATAAGAAATACATTCCGTAAGACTGTAGCTGCTATAGATAGCGATTCCTCTGAGGGATCTGGACAAAGCATATTGAGAACTTGGGAAGTATTCACTATTCTATGCCATGAAGAACATTATGATTCATAGGAAGAGGTCAAAACATCAAGACGAACTGGAGTTTGGAAGAAGCGGATTCCAGCCCTCATGGATGACTGTGAGGGGTTCAGGACTTCCCCAGAGGGAGTACCTGCAGATGTGGTGGGAATAGCAGGAGAACTAGAATTAGAGGTGGAGTCTGGAAATGGGACTGGATTGCTTTGATCTCCTGATCAAACCTGAACAGATCAGGAGGTGCTTCTTATGCAGGAGCAAAGAAAGTGGTTGCTTGAGCTGGAATCTACTTCCAGTGAAGATGCGGTGGAGATTGTTGAAAAGATAGTGAGGGATTTAGAATATTACATAAACTTCGGTTGATAAAGCAGTTGCAGGGTTTGAGAGGATGGACTCCCATTTTGAAAGAAGTTTCTACTGGGGGTAAATGCTACCAGACAGCATTGCGTGCTATAGAGAAATCATTCATGAAAGAGTCAATGCAGCAAACTTTATTGTTGCCTTATTTTAGGAAATTGCCATAGCCACCACAACCTTCCGCAACCATCACCCCGATTGGTCAGCAGCCATCAATGTCGAAGAAAGACCCTCCGCTGGCAGAAAGACTGACTTGTAGAGAACTCAGAGGATGGTCAGCACTTTTTAGCAACAGAGTATTTTTTAAATTAAGGTTGTGTGTGTGTGTGTGTGTGTGTGTGTGTATTTCTAAATATGCTATTGCACATTTTATAGACTATAGCATAGTGTGAACATAATTTTAACATGCACTGGGAAACCAAAAAATTCATTTGACTCACTCTGATATCTGCTTTATTGCAGTGGTCTGGAGTCAAACCCGCAATATCTCCGAGGTATGCCTGTACAAAGATCTTACCTACCTATTCCTCAGATTTTTAAAAATTCTCTTGCCTTCTCATAATGACATTTTAAATTATCAGCCTCCATAATGCTTAGCAAACTGGAATAGGACTACCTTCATTCAGGGTGACTTTTAAAATCATCAGCAAATCTCCAAGACATGACAAAAATTAAGCCGTGTTATTTGGCCAAAAGGTCATCTATTATAGTATAACCATACATCTCTGTTTGACTGGACTTTTGCAAATCTAGTCTGGTTTTGAAGTTGGGTTGTTTTCAAGATACTTTAGAGGAAAATAAGGCGTCTTGCAAGATTCACGCCAAGTCCAAACTTACGTTTACTCTAAGAATACATTTTTTTGTGTAGGTCCACAGAATCCTAAGATCTAAGATCTTCTAACTTATGCCTGCGGCAGGAGCCCACAGTTCAAACACTCGGATTATTTCTAAAGGGCTCCCTGTGACTTTAGATCCCTCTTGTTCTCTTTCCCCATCTCTCATCTATTCTTAAGCAGTACCAACACCGTCTTCTTCTCAAGCTGAGTCACGAATCTTAAATACGTGAAGGGGCAGGCCCACTCGAAGCCTTCCAAGCAATGAGCATCCTGTGCTCCTAACGGGCTGGGAAGACTTGGGATGAAAACAGTCGGTTGGTACCACCACAGGCTAACGCGCGCTTGCTCGTCGGGGCGGCGGGAACCCACCTGGATCTGCGCCTCGGCGTCCCGCACCGAGACGCTCAGCGAGCTCCCGGTGGAGCCCGAGCGGGGCCTCTTCTCCTGCCGCAGCAGCTCAGGGCCCGCGCTGAACGAGTGGCGCATCTGCCCCTGGTCTATCAAGTGCTGGGGACGCTGCAGCAGCGGGGAGTCCTGGCCCCTGGCGCCCAGCGGCTCTCCCTTCTTCTCCACTTTGCCCTCTTTGGGGAAGGCGGGCAGGTTGTGCTGCTGCTTCCTCTTTTTGTATTCGGTCATGAGCTTGGAGATGGTCCTGTCGGCCGCCATGGTGTAGATCCTGTTGCCCGCGCTCTCCCACCACTCCTTCTTGCGGCCCGGGTCCTTCTTCTCCACCCTGGGGCTCAGGCTCCCGGGCTCGGCCGCGTGGTCCCGGGCCTGGCTCCGGTCATCCTCCGAAGGGGTGTCCTTGCCCGAGAAGCCGCCGGTCGACGGCGTGGAGGACTCGGACTGGAAGGAGGGCAGGATGAAGAACGGGTCGCTCCTGAAGACGGGCGCCTCCTCCGCGCTGCTCTCCAGGTCCAGGTGCATCTGGATGTAGTGGTTGCACAGCTCCATGCACAGCTTGTGCAGCCGCTTGACCAGCCACACCCAGTCGGCGTTGCTGACGGGCTGCACGCTCAGCGAGGGCAGCCGGGCGCGCCAGCGCCGCTTCTCCCTGCCCCTCGGGGGGCTCACCTGCGCGGTCTCCTCGAAGATGTCCTCGTCCTCCGACGAGCACTGCTGGGACGAGTCCGTGCTCCTCTCGTCGTCCTCAAAGAGGACCTTCTTCACCTGCTCGGCGGTGATGGCCTCCTGGTTGGTGAGGACGGCGCAGACCAGCGCGTGGAAATAAATGTTGAAGCTCATGGCGGACTGGCGGTAGAGGTTGGCGGCGCCGCCGATGCCGGACACCTTCTTCAGCAGGCACTTCAGCCCGGGGCTGGTGTCGAACTCGCGCGCCGTCCGGTACGAGTCCAGCAGCAGGTCGAATATGACGGCCAGGTTCTGCATGGAGATGTATCTGAGGAAGCCGGCCGGCCTGGCCTCGGGGGCCGGGGCCGCCTTCTCCTCTCCCGGGGACGGGCCCTTGACGAACTCCTCTAGCAAGATGTCGTACAGGTTCTGCAGCAGCACTTGGTGAGACAGCAGGCTCACCACAACCTCCCGGAAGGAGACGCTTCAAACGCAAACAAACGGATCGGTTAAAGCCACCCGCGTTGGCCTCTAAAGCCACTCGAAGGTCACCCATTTTCTTTCTTTCTTTTTTAATTTTTATCTACTTATGATAGAGAGAGAGAGAGAGAGAGAGAGAGACAGAGAGAGAGGCAGAGACACAGGCAGAGGGAGAAGCAGGCTCCATGCACCGGGAGCCCGACGTGGGACTCGATCCCGGGTCTCCAGGATCGCGCCCCGGGCCAAAGGCAGGCGCCAAACCGCTGCGCCACCCAGGGATCCCGGTCACCCATTTTCGAATGACTTGGGCCAAATGATACACTGACCGGCTTTATTTCAACGCCTTCATTTATCTATACATTTTATTTCATTATTTCTTTTACAGCTTTTATTTATTTATTTATTTATTTATTTATTTATTTATTTATTTACTCATTCATTCATTCATTCATTCATGAGGGACACACAGAGAGAGGCAGAGACACGAGCAGAGGGAGAAGCAGGCTCCCCGCAGGGGGCCCCATGCGGGGCTCGATCCTGGGACCCCGAGATCACGACCTGAACCACTGGGCCACCCAGGCGTCCCTAATGCCTTCCTTTCAAAAGGGCAAACTTCTTGGGGCATTACACCATTTTAATCATGGTTAACAGAACTGCGGACACTTCCTAAAATCTAGGCGCTATATGATATTACTGTTTTATAAAAACTTTTCAGTATAGGCTCAGTGATGGGATACAACATTTGACATTTTATTACCTGTAACCGTGAAGGAAATAAAATCAGAAAGTAACAACTTCTGGCCAATTCTATGAATTTTAATTGGTTTTCTTCCCTACCTGTTTTTTTTTTTTTTTTCCCCTTAAACCCAGAGCTGTTAGCAATCTCATTGAAGTCTAGCTTTCTAGGGACCAAGCCAGTTTACCGGGATTAACTGTTAATGCTTTAGGTGCATATATATAAAAACTCCAGTGCTTCCAGCATGTGAAATGGGCGAGGGTCACACATTTGCAAATTTAAGATATAGATGACTGAACTCAAGCTTTCTAAACCAAACCTGAGAGACAAAGCAGCATTCATTCAACACTTATAATTCTCTTCTGTGTCCTTTCCTGCCAACATGGCCACAGGGCTCCTTTGTGGCCCTGGAATGCTTACTTGGATTTGCTGAGAGGCCCCTCAGGTCAGCTACGTGGCACAGGGGGAGGGGACGAATCCTCCCTAGACACCCACCCGGCCAGGTCCCCTGGTTGAGAGGCGGGCACAGCCCACATAAGGAAGCCTTACCAGTGCCCCTTGGTGATTTGGCCTCTTCTGTTTGGCTGTATTCTTATACGATTTCAATTCCAGGTACTACCTTTGTTAAATATTATAATTCACCCATGTGGTTTGTGGTTTATGGTTTCACTTGTTTTGCTGCTCTTAGAACTGCATGAAAATAGCTTATACCATTATGTTGCAAACTAAATACCATACGGGGTAATTATGAATTTATGACAACTCTAATTAATTAACAGTATTTATTTAAAGCTCCAACCACTATGTTAATATGGTTAGCTATGGCCTTGCATTTCAAAATTACTCTTTTAACAAAAAGGAACACAAATGCTTCTGTACATTTAAAGGCTGACCTTGCCCTCCGTGCCATGGTACACTGAGGCAGCATGGTGTAATCAGCACAGATCTGCCATTTACAAACCATATCCTTTTCTAACAACTCATTTAAGTAACTTGCTTTGGTGGTAAAATATACATAACATAAAAGTTTATTTTATTTTAGCCATTTTAATTTTTTTAATTTATTTTTTTTAAAGATTTTATTTATTTATTCATGAGAGACACACAGAGAGAGGTGGAGACACAGGCAGAAGGAGAAGCAGGATCCCTGCAGGGAGCCCGACATGGAACCTGATCGGATCATGCCCTGAACCAAAGGCAGACACTCAACCGCTGAGCCACCGGGGTGTCCCTATATTAGCCATTTTTAAAAGCACAATTCAATGGCATTAAGTACCTGCACCATTTTGGGCAACTGTCACCACTGTCTATTTCTAGAACTTTTCATCCCAAATTCAATACCCCTCAAATAATAACTCCTCATTCTGCCCTTCTTTTGATAAGTTATTTAAGGTATCAGGAACCCTGAATATGCATTCTTTTTAAAAGCCCCCAAGTTGATCAAGTGTTTCATGTCTATAGCTATAGGATACTACCTTAAGGGAAATCCTGTCGCCACTCAAGTCTTTTCCCTTGTCTGTCTGCCCCATTACACCGTAAAGTCTTCAAGGGCCAGGGCGGTATCTTATTATCTTATTCAAGGCTGGGAAAGGTGAGAGCAGCTCTCAGTAAGTGTTCAAGACAAACTGACAAAAACAGATTGGCTCTAAGTACAAATGCTGCCCGGAAGCAACATTCTCCTTGAGAAATGGCTCTGACACCTCAACCCCATGCCCTTGGCAGTCTGGACTCCTGAAGCAGGAACCCAACCAGAGAGGGGTAAGTTTGATCAACCTTTGGAAGATATAAACACCAGAGCCCACAGGACATGATCTGTCACCTTCCCTGAGAGCTGGAAAGCCCTTTACCAGTGAATGTTTAAAAAGACAGTTGACACTCAGCCATTAGAAATACTCAGCCATTAGAAATGACAAATACCCACATTTGCTTCAACGTGGATGGAACTGGAGGGTATTATGCTGAGTGAAATGAGTCAATCGGAGAAGGACAAACACTATATGGTCTCATTCGTTTGGGGAATATAATAATAGTGAAAGGGAATAGAAGGGAAGGGAGAAGAAATGGGTAGGAAATATCAGAAAGGGAGACAGAACATAAAGACTCCTAACTCTGGGAAACGAACTAGGGGTGGTGGAAGGGGAGGAGGGTGGGGGGTGGGGGTGAATGGGTGACGGGCACTGAGGGGGGCACTTGACGGGATGAGCACTGGGTATTATTCTGTATGTTGGCAAATTGAACACCAATAAAAATAAATTTATTATTAAAAAATAAAAAGACAGTTGATGCAAGGCCATGTTTGAGTTATGGAATATCTTTATCAACCAAGATAGCAATTTTATATCCTAAAGTATCAAGGGGACTAAGTGCGCATGTGAAAAGTTTAAAAAAATGCCTTCTGCTTTAGGATCAAGCTCCATGATACATAATAAGACAATAAAGGGACGCAGCTGGAGCAGTAATACAGAGATCAAAATTTCAGAGAGGTGCCAAAAAAGTGAAATAACTGTTATAGATGCACAACTCTTAATCATTTATATTGACAGAATATTTTTAAAAAAGACCTGGAACAAACAAAAATGAACAGATAATTTTTCAATTTGTTGTACCCAAGTGTTTCATCCTTTTGGTCTGCACACCCATTACAAAGGGGACTGTGAAGTGCTTCTGAGACCAAGTGCAAAGGAAAGGTCTCTTCCTGGAGAATTAATTGCCTAACCAGTGGCTGACTGAAGACCTGCTAATGCCAGTTTCAGAGAGAAACAGATTCTGAATTTCAAGTACCATATCTTAAAGCTCTCACATTAGGTGGATACTGTAAAGCTCAGGGGCTATCTAGAGATGATTTAAAACCACACCCAGATTTCTCTTTATTAATACTATAATCTGAATTTGATTTAGATATTTTTTTTCCCCATGGGTAACTTCAACATGAACCTTTGAGGATGAGCATAGATACGAACCTTCCTTAGGTCTACCGCATCTTGTGCTACATCTCGTGCTAAGATAAGAACTGCTCTGTAATAAGAATCAAATCCAAGAATGCCAGATGGCTCCACGCCTTTGTGCTTAGGTGTCCCTGGATAGGTGGCCTGGCCTCTCTGAATGTTTTCCCATGGATAAAATGGGAGTGGAAGTATCTAGCTGCTGTATCTTACATATCATGCTCAAATACTTACCATCATTATTATTAGTAGGCTGGAAGTTTAAAAATGGGAAATTCCAGTCATGGGTATTATCTTCAAGGCTAGGAACAATAGTTTGTAGGCAAAATGATAGTATTTAGAACGGGTAAGATTTGGGGGTACTTGAGTGGCTCAGTTGGTTTAGCATCTGACTCTTGATTTTGGCTCAGGTCTCAATCTCAGGGTCTTGGGATCAGCCTGCATCAGGCTCTGCACTCAGTGGGGAGTCTGCTTGAGATTCTTTCCCTTTCCTTCTTCCCTTCCCTCTGCTCTGTGTCTCTAATTATAAATCAATCAATCAATCAATCAATCTAAAAAGGGACAGATTCTTGTGGCTGGGCACAGATGTTTTTATCTCCCAATAGCTCATGAAAAGTTGAAGTATTTCTCCCTGAAACAGTATGAATCATGCCTCATATTACACTTTAAAAAAAGAGAGACCATGGATATACTATAGACATGCTGAGTTATGTCCACCCACCCAAATTCATATGTTGAAGTCCAAACCCACATTACCACAGTGTGACTGTATTGGGAGTTAAGTTCTTGAAAAATAATTAAGGTAGATTCTCATACAATATGACCAGTGTCCTTATAAGAAGGGATTAGGACACAGACACATACAGAAGAAAGACCACATGAAGACACAGGGAGAAAGCATCCATCCAGAAGCCAAGGAGAGAGGCCTCGGAAGAAACCAACCCTGCTGACACCTGGATCTTGGACTTCTAGGCTTCAGAACTGTAAGCAAATACATTTCTGTTGTTTGAGCCACCCAGCTGATGGTATTCACTATGGTAGTCCTATGAAACTAGTACATGTGAAATGTTGAAGCTTTACAGAAACAGTTTTCTGTAAAAACCTTTGCTAAACGACTCTATAAATGTCATTCTTAGCCAAATCTTGGATTTCAATGAGCCAGAAATGAAAATAAATAGAACCTTCCTTAGTTGTAAGCTCCCCACATGTTTAAGCTTATTAGCTGCTTACCTTTTCTTGGTGTGTCCATTTGGCTTCTCATCAGGAGGCAGCTCAATAATGAGCTGACAAGACTGAGCATGATCGAAGTTGTTTGGAGTCTTGGGTGAGCACTGTGTGTCCAACATAAACACCTGCAAAGGTATGCAAAGGTACAGTTCAGAGCTCTGTCATCCTCCACCTGACTCCAATAGGGATTAGCTGGATGGCCCTGGATAAATTTCTTACTCTTTCTACTCATTTTCTCACCTATAAAATGAAGTTGACAATGGTTTCCTACATGATATGTTGAGAGAATTAATATGTGCATATTACATATGCATAGCATTAGAACAGAAGAGTAAATATTCAGAAGTTAGTGGCTGATACTAACACAAATAACAGGACTACTTTAATCACGTGACAACTCATTACACTCCAACTAGTAAGTGCTGATATTTAATATTAATTAAGAGTAAATAAAGAGGGGCCGTGTTTATAAAAAATATCTCCGATTTTGACATCTCTGTGGTATTCTATCCAACACAGGAATAAGAAATTAATTAGGACATTTAGAAACCAGACCTAGCCAGGAAACTTATAAATTGATAATCAGAGTATCCTGGATATACTAAGGGAGATTTTATTAAGAGTTTAAATAGCTCTTATAGAGAAAAGGCAATTCTGAATATAACCCTTAATTCACTTTATTTTTGTAAAGAATTAGAATACTTTTCCAATAATTCAATCCAATACTGCAAATACATTTATAAAAATTGCTTAATATTTAAACATACCACATACATGCAGAAGATGTCTTTTGTATATGAAGACATAATTCAAATAGGTCTGTTGCCATTACATGATAGATTGTAAATTTAGGGACAATGTTTAATTAATCTGCTGGAAGCCGCATGCAGGGTTTCTTAGCAGTAGACTGACATGCTACTTGAGTGTTTGGGGGCATATCTGTAGCTAGTGCTAAGGCTGCAAGGCCTTTGGTGATTTAGTAACTCACCTACTCAACAGATATTTACTAAGTATCTTCTATATGCATGGCTCTACTAATACCAAGGTAAGTATACAGACATGTTCTTTGCTCCTCAGGAGACTCAATCAACTTTTCTGACTTCTGACCTCTGTTAGCAGAAAAAGTCACTGGTACATGGTGATCCCTGAATAGGTAAGTATATTTTAATTTTAGTTATGATTTACATTTGACTGAAATTAAGCAGCTTGTAAATGTCAAACTCTGCATGGGAAACATAAGGAAAAATCCAAATAGGTTTGCCATCCTTAGGCACTTGTAGACTGCAAGTACCATCAATATTTCAGCAAATATGGATAATATACAGAGTCCGAGAAAGTCAAGTGGTGTATGAAGTGTAGGGGCCAGGCAGAAAGAGGACTTTATCTGATCTGGGCACTGGAGGACACAACAAGAAAGAGATGGCGGAAAGGATTATAATGATGTTGACTGGGTTAGTGGTCCTCATCAAGAACAGTACTGACAAGATGTCAGAGCCAGGAAGTGTATGTCCCTAAGGGAATGAAAGACAATCTGATTATGCAAGACCTTCAAGAAGACGCTTGTAAAAGTCCTGGGAATCACAAGTCCCAGTCCTTACCTGCTGAGCCATGGCTCGAATGCGCCAGTACTCGGCCTCAGCACTGGGGGAGGAGGAGGGGGCCGCCACCCTCACCTGGCAGCCTTCCCCACTGAAGCTCTCAGTGCCACTGTGGAAGCAGCCCAATAGATCCTAGGGAGAAACACAGCAGAGGTTTCCTGGGTGCATCCAGGCCCTGTGTTCTAGAGCTGTTACGGTCCTGGTGTTTGGGACAAAAGCACAGATTGGACAACTTCACCCTCTGTAGGATTTCAAGTGAGCCTGCCTGATAAGAGAAGGAGGGCAGCATCCAGATGCCCAACTTGACAGGCACGAGATGACTCGAACCTGCTCTGGCTCCACCTGCCAACAATTTACCTTCACTGGCTTGAGTGTGGCTGAGAACGCATCCTGCAGGGCACAGCAGGCAAGCCTCCACATTTCTTCAGTGAACACAGGGCCTGCTGTGACAAGGACGTACCTGCTCAAAGAAACCAGGAAAGAAGTCTTGAATCTGTACCTTTTGTTGCCCTTACAGACGAATGCACAGATTTGTTCCACAGCTTCCATTCAAGTCTTGCTGCCTCTTATTACACTTGTCCTCAATCCAACTGGTATCCTATCTATTGTCACAACACTATTTCCTAAGGTATTTTCCTATAAAAATATCAAATAGCAATGGGTCCCCATTACAGATAGGGCAATGTCTCAACTTAGGCTTTGCATGCAAGACTGTATATATACTCTGTACTAATTTTTCTATTCTAGCCTCATTTTCTACTACTCCTCTACAAATAACAACCAAAATAATAAAAACTCTGTTGTCATTTATGACTCAGATCTCCATGCTTATGTTTGTGATGTTCTGCTTGCAAGTCCCCATCTATCAAGATGTTGCCCACTTTGGGTGATCTGACCAAATGTCATTAATATAAAAAGTCCTTGCTGACATCCTACTCCCCTGCCTTCCTTGGCATGTACAGTAACTCCTAACTATTGTCATTTTTCATGTGTCTCTCTCTGTTATGTCCTTTAGAAAAGGCTATAAGCCTCTTTGAGGGTAGGGACCTTGACTTCCTATGCACAGAGCATCTCTCTTTGTATAATGCCTTACACATTGAAATGAAGCATTATTAGCATATACATATAGACATTTTTACTTATAGAAAGCAGTCCAAAAAGTGGATTGCTACAATAAAAGAATTTAACTCCCTTGGATTTCATAATAAAAATTCTTAACTTTGTGGAGAGGCAAAGAATCTTTTCCTCACCTAATACAGGAACAGCCCACTCTGGAGATGGTTTCTGTGGGCTTGGCCACACACGCTACCAGTAACTCAAACAGGTCCTTCAGCATCGTGTTGATCATGCTCTCATACCTGATGTCTACATGGAAAAGTAAAACCAGAATTTCACTCAACTCTTGTAAAGGAGAGGGTTAAAATGACATTTTTAGTAAAAGGGGAAAGTCTGAGCAATAAAAAGATGTATAAAAATCTAGGGAAAAAGTAATTTTCTTGGATTTTTTCTGAACTTGACTTTAGCTTGTATTAATCATTTCATGATGAAATATGAGGCTTACTTTTATGTGTTGATACACATTTTTCGAAGTTAAGCATGTAATTCATCCACTTATACTAGCTACTATTCAGGCTGTGCGTGTTCTTTTCTGTATACAAAATTTAAATTCTTAAAAAAAATAGAAAAATGAAACCTACAGTTTCCTTACTCTTGACAGACTAATTAAATGCTCGTGGCAAACAAACCCTTTCATCTTAACAGTTCTTGAACTCAGCCTGGCACACTATCCCCAGACTAAAGAAAATGAGACTTCTCCAAATCACATTCTATTTTCCCAATTCAAGGAATACATGTATATTCTTTCCCTCAAAGTCCATGTGATGACACAGATTTAATTTTTAGTAGAATCCTCAGTGGTTCTGTGCTGGGCAAAGCAGTGATCCAGCTAAGAACATACCTGTAGGGCTAATTATCGCTTACATGTGGAAACACCCACTTGTTGTCTTTCTCAATTAACGTTCTTTTTTTGTGGAGGCAAGCTTATTAACTTTAGTAGAGCCACCCATTTCTTACTTTGCTTTTTGATTCTCCCTTGGGGTGAACATCTCATGAATTTTTCTAACCTCTTCAACAAGGGCGTCTCTTACCTTACCTCTTCCTTTATAAAGAGAAGCCAAAGGCATATTGAATTATAACTTCTAGGTTAACAGTGATTTTTTTTTCTGACTTCAATATACTATCTGCCACATACTTTCAGGTCATCTTCAAAGTACCACAGATATTAAGATACTTCACCCCTAACCTCTTAAGCAACTTCTTGCCTATAATTTAAGCCTTTTCTCAAATCTTATCTCCTCCATTTAGCCTCCCGGAGGAAGCAGGAGGATATACATCCTCTCACCTACAGACTACAGAGCTAGTTCTTTTTTCTTTATTTAATTTATTACATAGTTGAACTTGCCTCCTCTCTTCTCATGCACAGATCTACTAGATGGCACTATATTCTTATATGTATTTTAAGTATTAATTTTCATTTTGATAATCTAGGAGAAGGTTGGCACTGACCATATAGTTCTATTTAGGTAATATCTGGACAAAAATCATACACTGGTATTTTTTGACAGTGATGCTTCCCATGAAAAAAAATACTCAGTATGGACTGCTAGGGGACCAAAGATACCTGAGTGTATAAAGCTTTGAATGTGCTCCACCACTAGCTCACAAGACAGGCCAATGGCGTGCTTGAAATTAGCAGAAGCTGCATCCCAGTACGAATGGTCTTTATGGCTACGTCGGAGCCAAAGGGTCATCACAGGGAGGAGAAGGTGAACAACCGCATAGATACCAAAACCCGGTCCTGAAATAGAAAAGTTGGCATCAGAACTGTGATCACAACAGCTCTCCTGTAGGGAAACAGAAGTTACTGCCATCACTTGGCATGCCCCAGTTCTTTCACAGGAGTTCACCCCACCCCCCAAGAAGTTGCAAGGAAAAAGAATTTACTACTGACTGGGGGGAATATATGGTCTTCACTGGCATTTTTCTTTTCTTTTTTAAGATTTATTTTAGAGAGAGAGCATGAGAGTAGGGGGAGGGGCAGAGGGAGAAGGAGAGAGGATCTCAAGCAGACTACCCCTGGGTGCAGAGCTGGACTGGGACTTCAATCCCACGAGCTGGAAATCATGACCTGAGCTAAAATCCAGACTCAGAGGCTTAAATGACTGAGCCACTCAGGTGCTTCTCTTTTGTTTCTGTTATGAATATAGTTATGCAAGTGATATATGAATAAATTCATAAAAATTCAAATAATACCAATAAAGCCAAAGTATCACCTAATTAACTCCCCTAGAGGTAAACAGAGATACACATATAAGAAAATGTCCTCTAAAGTTTACATATAAATATCTATATGAAACATCAAGAAACACATTAACATGTGTTAGAGATCATTCTGTATCAGAGAATTTAGATATTCCTCATTTTTTTTTTAAATTTTTTTTTTTTTTATTTACGATAGTCATACAGAGAGAGAGAGAGGCAGAGACACAGGCAGAGGGAGAAGCAGGCTCCATGCACCGGGAGCCCGACGTGGGACTCGATCCCGGGTCTCCAGGATCGTGCCCTGGGCCAAAGGCAGGCGCCAAACCGCTGCGCCACCCAGGGATCCCGATATTCCTCATTTTTACTGCCACATACAATTCCATTGCATGTATACACAACAGTTACTTATCCATTCCCTTACTGATGGACACTTAAGGTGTTCTAACTTTTTGCTTTAGACAATGCTATAATGAAAATCCTTGTGAAAGTGATGGATTTTTAAAGTTCTGATTACAAAAGTAAGAAACCTTTTTTCTAATAAACACAGAAAAGAATGAGAATACGAAGAAAGAAACCTCACCCACAGAGATAATTACATTTTATGTTTGACTTCTAGTCCTTTTGAATGGACATGTGTATTTATAGATGCATAAAATTTCAATGTTGTGGTTGTACTCCATAGTATATATACTTTAAATGTTATTCACAAATACTCATTTTTATATCTGTGGGATATTTATATGCTCTCATTGTAATTTACTTAACCCATTTAGGGTGTTCATAATTTTTTTGGTATTCAATATATTTCAGCAATCATTTTATACTCATTTTGTTTTCATCACTATTAATTTCCTTTGATGATAGATTTCTAGTAGAATTAATTATTAGGTTGAGTGCTCTTCACACACAGTTAATGGCAATGTGAAAACAGAAAACAGTACTAACTAGTGAGGGAGAGCTATATAATTAATTCTGTAAAATACCTGCTTATTTTTGGATAAAGGGCTTATAACCTTTTGACATGAGAATAGCTATGCTGGCTTTTTTGGAAAAAAATTCTGCTACAAACTGCAATGGATCTTAATACCGTACCAGTTATCAAGTCTTCACCAGTTTGTAATAAATATGAAACTCCTCTTATTACTATGGAATTGACTAGTGGGTTCATTTGTGGTTCTGATTCTGTTTGTAAAAATTAAAATTTCTATAGTGGCTTGGATCTTGGGAAAATTTGCATGTGTTAAGTATATATGCTAAATTTGATTGAATCAAAAGAAGAAATAAATTCCGCAGGGCCATTCTTTTCCTGTACTAGCAAGGTATTAGGTGATCACTACATGTCTTTTTCTTTTTTTGAGAGAGAGAGCGAGCATGAGTCGGGGAGGGGCTGAGGGAAAGGGAGAGAGAGAATCTTAAGCAGACTCCACACTGATCATGAAGCCTGAGATCATGACCTGAGCTGAAATCAAGAGTTAGATGCTCAAAAAAAATAAAAATAAAAATAAAAAAAAAATAAAAAAGTCAGATGCTCAACTGATGGAGCCAGCCAGGTGCCACTATGTCTTTTTCTAAATCTAATCACCTATGACCTTTATATATGTAAGATCTTGCTGTTTTAATATTGTACATAATTTTGAGTGGTTTGTTTATGTCACTGAAGACTCAGCGAGCCTTACTGACAGCCGTAGGGCCAAGAGGAGGCTGTGATCATAGAACAGAGCAAAGCCAATAGCCTTGGCCTGATTATTGTAGGGATCCAACACACCTAACTGGATAGTACGTATTATTTGTAAATGGACTGATGGGAAGACACGTACATAATAACAGGACATATCTTTTTTTTAAAAAAGATTTTATTTATTTATTCATAGAGACACACACACAGAGAGAGGCAGAGACACAGGCAGAGGGAGAAGCAGGCTCCATGCAGAGAGCCTGAGGTGGGGCTCGATCCAGGGTCTCTAGGATCACGCCCTGAGCTGCAGGCGGCGCTAAACCACTGTGCCACTGGGGCTGCCCTAACAGGACATATCTTAAACATAACTGCATCATTACCATTTAACAAGTATTTACTGAGCATCTATTATGCATGAAGCTCTGCACCAAGTCTAGGGTTATAGGTGTAAAACAAGTAGACACATGGAAATACCTTCCTGAAAAAAGTTATATGCATAATACCTCCCCACAAAAGACAGACATAGAAATTCTTACCAGGTGTTTTGGTAACATCTCTCAACAGCTCAAAGAGTAAATCCAAGGTTGGCGGTTGGTGCTGACGTGGACAGTTGGACACAGCCGCTGTTAGCTGCTCCAGCAGGATGATCCAGACTTCTATCAGCCCTGCATATGAAAAAGCAGATCTCTGTGAAATCCAGTTCAACATAATAGAGAGTCATAAGATCAAACTAAACATCGTGAGTTTAGCAGTGTGCCATATGGCAGTGTGGTAGTCCTCAGTGTCTACAAGCATGGGCAGATTATGATTTACATGCTCTAACAAAGTTAAAGGGGGAAAATCCCAAATTTCTTCTCATTCCCCTACAGGAAGAAGGTGATGTGGCAAATTTTACTATATTGAAATAACTATCAGATTTCTTGGGAGCTGACAATACCAAAATAATAAAATATCCTTTTGTATCATCTTAGCATACATTCTTTTAAAACATTATTTTGTTGTAAATATGTAACAAAAATTTGTCACTTTAACCCTTTTTACATATGCAATTCAGTGGTATTAATTACTCTCAAGGTTTTGTGCAACCATCCCCACTATCTTGTTCCAAAACTATTTTTTTATCATCTCAAACAGAAGCCCTGCAACCAGTAACTGTCCATTCTCCCCTCACTCTAGCCCCTGGGAACCTATCATCTATTTTCTATTTTTTATGAATTTGCCTGTTCTGGATATTTCATATAAGTGGAATCACACAGGATTTGTGTTTCTGTGTCTGGCTTATTTCATTTAGTGTAATGTTTTCAAGGTCTATTCGTGTTGCACTGTATATCAGATGAATAATAATTCACGCTTTGTTCATTCATCTGTTGATGGACACTTGTGTTGTTTCCACCTTTAGCTATGGTGGAAATAAGGCAATGAACATAGGACTGTAAGTATCTGTTTCAATCTCTCAATTCCTTAGGGTCTAGACCCAGGAGAGGAATTTCTGGGTCATCTGGTAGTTCTTTTTAACGTTTTGAAGAAGTACCAAACTGTTTTCCATAAAGGAAATATATATTCCTGTGAGGGTTCCAATTTCTCCATGTCCTTGCCAACACTTACTTTTTTTTTTTTAAACTATAGACATCCTAGTATGTAAAGTGTGTTTCACACTGTGGTTTTGACTTACATTTCCCTGATGACTAATGATGCTGAGCATGCTGATCAGCCATTTGTAGATCTTTTAAGAAATATCTACTCATGTCCCTTTGCCCATTTTTAAATTGTGTAGTTTGTCTTGTGGAGTTTTAGGAGTTCTTTATATATTCTGGATATTAAAACCTTATCAAAAATAGGATTTACAAATATGTTCTCCTTTCGATTGTCCTTTCGCTTTCTTGATAATGTCCTTTAAAGCACAAAAGTCTTTAATTTTGATGAAGTCTGAGTCGTCCAGTTTTTCTTTTGCTGCTCCTGTGTGTGAGTCTATTTTCTTTACTCTTCTTCATGCCCCACTTTTTCCAAAGGTCCATCAGTCATCTCCAGTCTTTTTTTTTTTTTTTTTTTTTTTTGCAATTTATACATTATTTTGAATTTGCATGCCTGTCTTGTGGTTGGCGCTGCTGGCACTTTCTCATCCTATGTACATGCAAATCACTTCATGTACCGCTCACAGATGGGGAATGAGATTCACAACATCAACAGAATCATACACCCAAAGCAGCACACCTCTCAGTATACACCTCTCTTCCTTCTCCCCTTCAGAGTTTCATTTTTAAAACAAGATACTAACTTTTAGTGCTGCTCATTACAAGGCAAGGGAAAAAGCATGAGATTTTTTTTATTAGATCCAAACAATTTTAGTTTTGCCATTTACAGAAGCACTATCTGAGCCAACATTCCTGCTCACCACTGCCTTTGGAAATATATGAACCTGCCAGATAACTGACACAGAGAAAGGACTCAATTTCTTTTGCTTCATCTAAAAGGGCCTAGAATAGAAAATTAAAAAATAACCCACCCTACATTTTAATACTTCTCAGTTTCCTATGAAAGATAACTGTCAAAAGATGGCAGCTTTATCATATTCCCATTATAAAAAAAAACTACTTCTACATTTTGGACATTCCCATTCATAGAAAGCTAAAGCAAACCCATGAACCACAAATATAATAAAACTAGGTGACAGAGGCTCATGAGCCTCAAAGTATAAGCAGGTGGGAACAAGCTAATTTATCGGAAATGTAGAAGACAGAATCGCATGCTATGCACCACTCTAGGGGGGGTGTAACCAATAAATTCCATGTGGAAAACTCTATGGGGTCTCACTTCAACAAATGAAGTACAAAAGAGTGAAAAAGAGTTGAAGAGGAAACTCTAGGGATTGAGAAGGACTTCAGAGACCTATCAGCAAAACACACAGTACAGGTCTTATGTGAATGCTGAAAATTCACTGACATAAGAAAATGGGAAATGTTAACATTTAAGGAGGGCAGTCTGGGTGGCTCAGCAGTTTACTGCCTGCCTTTAGCCTAGGACGTGATCCTGGAGGCCCGGGATCGAGTCCCACATGGGGCATCCTGCGTGGAGCCTGCTTCTCCCTCTGCCTATGTCTCTGCCTCTCTCTCTCTCTCTCTCTCTATCTCATGAATAAATAAAATCTTAAAAAATAATATTTAATATTAAATAATTATTGTTAATTCTTAGGTATGATAATGGAATTGTGATCATGTTTGTTATATTTAAAAAACACAAACTGAAACATTTACAGACGAAATGCTATAATGTCTGGGATTTAATTTAAACTAGATGAAGTGAGAGGAAGGGGGAGACAGAGTGAGGGGTTGTGTGTGTGTGTGTGTATACATAATAGACTGACTATAAGTTAATAGTTGAAGCTGGGTGATGGGTACATGAAGGCTCATTATACCATTCTGTCTAGTTTAATCATGTCTGAAATTTCCATGGGGGAAAAAAAGGACATTATTTGCCTTTGGAAACCAGAGGAATAACATGTAAGAGCATATAAATTTTCAACACTAAGTTGAAGCCTTTGCTTTTAATTCTTTTCTCTGAGCTAGCTATATTTCGTATATCATAATAACTTTAAAGATATCAATGAGTTGATAATGTGGAAAACTTTAGATAGGTCTTAGCTGAATTTTATCTATAAGATGGGCTGCCTAGAAAAAAACAATGGATTAATGATTTGCACATATGGAAAGAGAGAATTGCTGATTGCTACATACACAGACAATTTATAACTGTTTAAAGACTGTATTAAAGATAAGCAACATTAGCCTCTGTTTATAGTTGTCTGGGTTGGAGGTTTAAGAGGCTAAGTAAAAATTATTCCTAACTAGTCATTAAATGAAACCTCTATTAGACAACCTCTAGCCAATTTCCATTTTAATTGTTCTCTACATTTGCTATTCCTTCCTACAGTTCTCCCTTAAAACTACTCTCAACTAGTGAGGTTTTACCATTTATAATCCCTGTGGAAAAATGTAAATCCGCTCGCTATTCTCATAAGTGAATTTATAACAGAAAAATAAAACAAAAATTAATAATTAAAAAAAGCAAAATTTAAAAAACCTCTCCCCAAAACTCCTTTTGCAAGAGTTTGAATCAACCTATGCCTGTTAGTCCCGTTAGTTCTCTTTAAGGATATAATTTCCACTTCTAGATCTAGAACAGGGCAGGGTTGACTGAATCAGAAGACAAGCATGAGCATGAGTTAATCCATCTGAAAATTTCCCAAAGTTACTAGAGAACTCCGATCCACAGAAAATTACATAGGAACTAATTTGAAACACATTCTTTAAAATTATTCTTTTAATGAGGATTCAGTTCCACCAGGCACAAATAGATTCTCTCTTCAGTAGTGGCTTAATTTCCCCAGTCTCTAACCAAATAGTCCTACAGGAAGTAATTATATAATGATTGTGTTTCCTAGAAGGTATTAAAGACAATTACCAGTCAATTTATGTACCAATGCAACCGCGTTCCAATTTGCTAAATTATAGAGAGTTCAGAGTTAGAAACTATATTTAGTGGAATCTGCAGATCTGTACTGAGCTTGGATAGAGGCATCCATCTATAAAAGGATGGGTTTGGAGACAAGACATCAAATGATGTTTTTAAATAGTCCATGGAAACTTTACGTAGACTTGTTCTATTAGAATTAAAAACAATAGTAACATAAATGGATGATCATTCTTATGTCTCTAAGCTACTGAACTCATAGTTTAAGCTTCTGGGAATATAAACATAACAAATAACCTAGAGTTCAGTCCAATCAACTCACCAGTGTCATCATCAAAATCAGATAGGACCGACTCAATTCCATCCTCACTGCTGGCCGACTGTTCCTGAAGTCTTCGGGGCAAGCTAGCCAGTCGCCCACTAAGGAATATTGGCTTCAAGGGCATTTTGTAGATTTTGGCCAGTAACTAAATAATGAAAAACCAAATTGCAACTATGTATTAGAAAAAGCTGTACTATGGGTGTTAAAGAAAAATAGCATCGTATACCAGAAATACTAGTGTTAGGGAAAACCAGAAAAGCTTCCAATGTATGAAAGTTTTGAGGTTGTTTGTGATTTGGATTCTTACAGTAGCTCATGAGAGGGAGATGCAGGGCGGACATTCCCTGGAGACAGAACAGCAACTGTCCTGAGCAGAGAGGTGCCATGTATCTGAGGGGTGGAAAGTAGGTGTGGCTGGAGCATACAGTGAGAGGGAAGGATCTGAGGGTGGAAAGGTAGCTGAAGTCCTGTCATGTGGTGTCTTTTGAGGGCTGATGGGGAAGAAGCTGGCCTAGGTATCCTTTCTAAAGCCCTGGGGTTCACACCATCACTGCTGTCACCGAGGGAGGAGTTCCACAGACAGGAAAAGGTCTGGGGACACCACCTGTGAAGATAGGAGAACAACTATAAAGGGTGTCACTGAAGCCTGGGGGCAGAAGGGGCTTTCTGGTTGCTGGAGGGAGCATCCTCCTGGGCTAACAGCAATTACTGGATTGACCACAACGAAAGTCGCTGTTCCCTTTGATAAATGAGGTTTCATGGGATTTCCTCACTAGATCTTTATTGAACACGTCCCTTTTTTGTTTTTGTCTCTCTTCAGTGGTGGCACCACCACCACATCCTATCATGAAGACTTCCCATGACCTCTCTCCCTACAGCCTGATGCAAACATAGAGATCAGGACCGTTCCTGTGTCTTGAGTATAAAGGAGAAGTTTCAGAGGTTTCAGTTCAATTGTGTGTTCTAGCACATTTTTGTTCCTCTCATTCTTTCCTTCATGGAAGCAGTGAGGACAAAATTTCCTACTCCAGATCTCAGCCCCTGCTCTCCTCAGAGTCAGCCAAAAATGTTTCTCTTGGGCTTCAGCAAGAGACATCCACGCCTGGTTTGCAAGCATCAGGTCCCAGGCCGGTCACAGGGCCTGGAGCCCAGTGTGGGTGCACGAGCATGGCCCCCTACCTGCGAGCAGCGCCTGAGGTAATCCAGGGCGGGGAGGCACAGGTCTGGGGACATGGCTCCGGGTCCCGGGACACAGTCTCCTATTTCCTTGCAGTCCACCTCCCCTGGAGGACAGACAGACACAATTACTCTGGCATTCCCCCTTCAGCAGAAGACCTAGTAGCTCCCACAGCACTCGTTCATTAAATGTCTACTAAAATAAAAGACAAAATTACCCCAAACTTTGGACCCTGAGGAGAATCCTTTCAGTCATTTTTTCTCCCTCCACATGTGTACGTGTTAAATACAGTTGGGATTGAATCGAGCATCTTAGTTTGTTGGATTATTCCATTTTGGTAACTCCTCTTTTCACTAAACAGTGAACTCCTCTTTTCTGGTACTGGACCACAGTTCCTTCAGTGGCTGCACGGGGTCCCTCTGTGCCTGGGCCCACGGTAGTTCCCCTCACCGTCCCTGCTGTGGATGGTGCGACTCTGAGCTTGATGATAGAGGACACTCCTGGTGCCCAGCCACATCTGCGATGGAGGGAAGCACTTGGCCTCTCTCTGTTTGCAAAAGGACCCCTCTGCTGCCAGGGCTCAGCACTATAGAGTGGTGATAAAGTCCTCTGGGAAGAGTCCAGACATCTGGGGCTCAGGGATAGAGACTATCGAATTGAACTGAAATGATTTTTAATTTTTTTTGGTACATATCTAGAGATTTTGCAGATCTGTGGAGGGCATCTAGATTTTTCTATAGGTAAATAGTAGTTGAGGATTACCATTTTTCTTCCCATGGGATGAAATCTATTCCCGTACTTTTAATAAGATCATTCCACAGTACTGAAATTGTTTCTAATTGTCTACAATCGTAGCCACTAGGCACCCTTCCCTGTGGGCAGACAGACCTAATTACTAGGCATTAGTTAAAATTCAGACAAAGCAGCATGTTTCTCCTTAAAAAAGAAAAGATAAATATTTGTAATCTAGATCAGGGATCGGCAAACTTTTTGTGTACAGGGCCAGATAGTAAATACTTTAAGCTTTGCAGGTCATCCTGTTTTTGTTACCGCTTCTCAAATCTACCATTGTAGCACGAAACTAGTAGTAGACAAATGACCATGGCTGTGTTTCAGTAAACTTTATTTATAAAAACCATCAATGGGTTGGATCTGGCCTGCAGGCCATTGCTTGCCAGCCCCGGGTTTGGATTAACATGCTTTACAATATAAAAACACAGACTGGGTCAAACTCATGTTGAAATAACCAGATGGCAATTAAAAATAATTTCATTTCTTAGCCTGTTGATCAAAGTGAGCAGCCCGTTTTGTTTGTTTTTTTTAACCAAGGTTGGTGCGTTACACATCAAAGTCTATGCAAATGGCGCCCCCTGGAGTCTGGGGCAGTACCTAGCCAGCGTGGCTACTGGGGGCTCAAGGTTCCCATGCCCCCTACAAGTAATGCCACCTTATGATTCACAGAAAAAAAAAAAAAAAACATTCTCCATGTGTACATAGATTATTCTGCATCTCTATCTGCTGCCTTTAAGTCCTTCCCTAAGATAAAATCTCAAATTTGTTAACATGCTGCTAGGCATCTCCACTTGAATAGGGTTTTACAGAAACTCCACGTGTCCAAATGTCCAAAGATGGAATTCGTTACTTTTTCCTCTCCTCCACACCTACTTAACCTGCTCTCCTTTTTAACATCCTATTTCTGGGTAACACTAGTCCTTGTCAGGGAAGCAGGGAGCCTTCCTCAATGCCTCCTCCCCAAGCCCCCATTCTAGCAGGGCCAAGCCCCACAGATCCCACCTCTACCATGCACTGGAGCCAACCTCATCTTCTCTTACTGCCTCTCTGCCTGCAGCCTCTTGTCCCCATGTAAGGGGACATATGCCTTCCAGAGTTCAGTTTCTAACACTGTGTGATCGTACCACTCTTTACCTAGAAACCTTCCCCACACATTCTGGATTCCTTGATGTGGCATATGGAGCCCTTCACAACTTCCTTTCTTCCCAACTCATCATTCACTATCCCTTTATGTGGGTACCTCCAATGTACCCTGATTTTAGGAAAGGAAACCTAGTTCACCACAAAGTTCAAATGTCCCTTACCCTTTAAAGCCTGCACTGGACCCCACTACCAAACATCTATCTCAGCTACTTGTTTATTTCAGCTTACATGTATTTTTTCTTTTTTACTAGCTTCCATGAAAGTATTCATCTTACTTAATTGTAATGATTGATTTATATGTGTTTCCTAGAAGAGGTTGTGAGCCTCTCACAGGCAGGAAGCATGTTTTATTCCTCTTTATACCTTCATAGTACATATGAAGGCTGCTGTGCACACATGGCAGGCACTCAACTCTTCACTGAATAACAGAATACCAATAATGATTCTTAAATGAAATATAAGACTGTGACATAATAGCAAATATACATATTGGCCTCTGCTCCCAGTTCCTGGCACAGAGCTCCTAAAATCCTTGTAATTTCCCAAGTGATGAGGATTAGAGGCCCCCCCCCTTTTTTTGCTCTAATATTTGGTTTCTGACTCCAATTCCTGACACGCTGCTTCTAAATGCTTGGAATTTCCTGCATGATAGGAGGGTCTGTTGTTCTAATTGAGGCAATATCCGGTGGGCTCCTAGAAGTGGACTGGTCACCTGAAAGACCAAGCCATGACTAGAAGCTTGAAATTTTCAGCTCCTTTCCCCTTCTTAGGGGAGAGGGACTGGAAATAGACTTAGAGGTCTATCATGCCTACATGATAAAGTCTCCAGAAGTTCCAGAAGTATGGGGTTTGGAGATCTGGGTTGGTGAACACATTTATATGCTGGTAGGGTGGGACACCCCAACTCCATGGGGACGAAAGCTCCTGTGTTTGGGACCTTTATGGACCTTGCCCTACGTAGCTCTTTCTCCGGCTATTCATCTGTGTCCTTTATTATATCCTTCATTATATAATAAATTGCTAATCATGTTCCCCTGAGTTCTGTGAGTTGTTCCAACAATTAACCAAATCCAAGGGGAGAAGGTCATGGAACCTATTTGTAGCCATGTCAGAGCTGTGGGTAAATGGGGACCTACTTTTGCTTGGCATGTGATGTGGGGGGTAGTCTTATGGGACTGAGCCCCTACCCTGTGGGGTCTGGGCTAACTCCAGGTAGTGTCAGAATTGGACTGAATTATAGGACACCCCGCTGGTATTGCACAATACTGGATGGTGTGAGAACCCTCCACCCTCTCCACATCTAGCACTGGAGCATTTTGAATGTGGTGGTCACAGGAGAACAAAGGAGACACACAGGAGTGAGTTCTTCCCATGCAATAACTGAATTTCCTACTACTAAGATTATGTATCTTACAATTAAGACACTAAGTTACTTGGTTTCTATTTAATTAACATGGTTTAAAAAAATTTTATGCTGTTGTTCACAAGAAATCTTCCTCTGAAGCCCATAGTGTAAAATCGATAAGCAAGTGGCTGTCATGGTTGCCCTTCTGCTCAGTCCTCCATTTCCTGGGGCAGATTCAACAATAGAATGAGGCACATATAATAAATAATAGAATATAACAACAGTGGTCTACAGATCAGCCTTGTTGCCTCTATCCTAAAACTTGCATTTTGCTTCTGCTCCCTGCAAAAGGGGGAATCTGAATGAAGTCACCTAGTTTCTTTGTGTCCAGTTTTCTTTGCAAATAAACTGTCGATAACCTCCAGATATAAGAGCACTCCACGGTGAAGTTCCAAACTTTAAGACTTACTTACGTTCCTTCTAAAATTATTGGTTTAACTAACTGTGCTGCCTTCCGTTTCACCCCAGATAAACTTATGCTATATAAAAATCTGCTGCAGCAGGTCATGTTGCAGAGCAAGACTCTACTTTGTTTAAGCATTGCTGAATGAAGCGTTAAATCAGCTTGGTAGTCTCTGAAACACACAGACCCTCAAAGAAGGGGGACTCTCACACTCCAAACAAATGTTATGATAAATAAGGCCCGGGGGGAGGCATCCTTAATTTTTGTTTAGGGGAAGCTGGAAACTCAAGCTCATGCTGCTAATTATGTGACATTGAGGACAGTGGTTCCTGCATAAGGGCAATTATAGAATATAACACCGAATGTTTGAAGATTCAAAAAGAATCTTGTTAGAGTAAAGTAACATACAGATTGAAAACATGCTACAAGAGTATTCCAGGAACACGATGAAAAATAGCAACCCTGGACAGAATCCAAGCTGCTTTTACAGTAGGCTTTCTGCTTCTGAATATACAACACGCCACCATCTGTTGAAAGCCCAGGCTGCTTACTAGCTTGCTCCAGGCAGCCAGTGGGACTGCCTCCAGAGCTTTCCATGCAAAGTCATCCAGGAAAGGGCCCCCAGCTGTCACAAGGCAGGAAAAGAAGACTCCACTTACCGAGTCCTTTGACAAACTTCATAAGGCACATGATGTAGCTTGTGGCTGCATTAGCAAAGACCTGAATGTTGTCGGTATTGAGAAATGCTTCAAATACATCAAACACTGGAGCCTGGCCTTTTCCTAAGGGAGGAAGGTTGTAGAATTTGAAGACAAAATAAGTCTCAGCCCTTCAGGTCACCCATATTCCCAGCACCTTCCCTGGAGTCTTGGAAAAGACCTGCTCCTGGAGGAAATCCCTGGCCTTTTGGCGGGACATGTGGCCAGGCTCCACTGCTGTCCTTCTCAGCTTTGCCTGCAGGGGGAGCTGCAGGAAGGCTAAAAATAGGAAGAGAGCTGGGTAGAGCTTTAAGGGCAAAGCTAGCTGAATGCAAGGCTGGGGCAACAGGTGGATCTAGGAAACACACAGAATCCCCTGGGATTCTGCACACATAATTATAGGCAAGGAAAGGTTTAGATAAGCCCTCATGGCATATACTAATTGATTTATAACTGAGCAGAAGAGAGTTAACAGGCTCAAGATTGTTATCCTCACAAAGGCCTGCTTACAAGTTCAGCCCTTGGCTGGCTTCTGGGAACCTGGCTCTCAGGATAGTCCCAGGCAACAGCTGACTGGTAAGGTGGTTCTTTGTGCCTAGACTATGCAAACAAAATGGTTTATCCTGAGCACTCGCTTTCCTTTGGGGAGTCTAGGATTTTGGTAGGTGCTAGGCAGAGGGAATCTATGTGGCCAGCTCCTAGCTGCATCTCCAATGGGCTTTGCTGGAGAGAAACATCATATTCATGTTGCTACATTTTCACCAGTGGAGCAGAGTATGCTCTGTGGGACCCCTGGGGGAGGCTGAGAGCACATGGAAGCCCGCACGGGGATTTCTTCTCCCTTTACAATCTGGCTTGTCCTCAGTATGCTGCCATGATAAATCTTAGTGGTGAGCCATGTAATAAATCTGACCCATGCAATTCCACCTAGCATACCTCTATGCTGAGTGCTGTGAATCCCTCTGGTGGGTCTCTGGGCATGCTTTATGGACCCCCATTCATTTCCAGCCAAGCTCAATTTGCCTAACTGGGATTCTATTGTGTTTGTGATGCTTTTCTGCTTCTTACTAGCAAGCAAATAATGTTTTTCTTTTTCACTTTAGGAGCAAACTCAACACACATCTGTATAACTGAAACAACAGAAGTGACAGCATTTTGTTTAATCTGTCAGTAAGAGCAGGGCCTGATGAGGCTCAGGGATCTTGGCGCGTGGGCAGAACTTGGAACGCGTGTCCCTGCTACACCAGATTATTTCCTACCAAGGAGACATGGCTGAATGTTAGCCTTCTCTATTGTTCAGTTTCTTTTTTTTTTTTTTAAATTTTTTTTAAATTTATTTATGATAGAGAGAGAGGCAGAGACACAGGCAGAGGGAGAAGCAGGTTCCTCACAGGCCTGATGTGGGACTCGATCACGGGACTCCAGGATCACGCCCTGAGCAAAGGCAGATGCTCAACCACTGAGCCACTAGGTGTCCCAAGAATTCATACTTTGTAACAAAAATCATCTACATTCTTCCTTCTCACCACCCTTACCTAACATAGTACTGGAAATACTACCCAGCGCAACTAGACAGGAAAAAACACACATCCAAATCAGAAAGGAAGGAGGAATATTACCTGTTTGTAGATTCCATGATCTACTTTATTTAGAAAATCCTAAAGACACCGCCCAAAAGTTCATAACTAATAGATGCATTTGGTAAAGTTTCAGGACATGAAATCAACACATGTTCTTACCCATGGAGTAATCACCAACCAGATACTCCTTCACCTCAGACTTATTCCCACTGTGCACAGTTTCCAGGGCACTGAACAAGGGCCTCCATCCCGACTGGATTTGGGTGGAACACACTTCGACTAGCTCACCAATGGATGTGACAACCTGGCAGAAACAAAGGAGGTGGCACATATAACCTTTTCCTTGAAAGCAGCAGAAAAATTTCTGAGAGGAGGATCTACTTCTCTGCTTCCTATTTTTGGGTTAATTTCAATGAAAAAGAGAAACCAGAATTCAGTCAAACTCACTCAAAAATAAGCAGCCATATTGCATTAATCTGCATTTTGCTACTGATTCATGTCGTTAAGCAACTTTTCACGTGCTTATGAGTCATCTGCAAATGTTTTTCTTTTTTCTTTTTTGTCTTTTCATTTATTGTCATTATTTTTTAAGGAAAGGTTTATTTTAGAGAGGGGGGGAGAGTGAGTGTAGGTGGGGTGCAGTAGAGAAAGAGACAGAGAAAATCTCAAGCAGACTCCACACTGAGTGCAGAGCCCAACATGGAGCTCAAGCTCATGACCCTGAAATCATGGCTCAAGTAGAAACCGAGTCAGATGCTTAACTGACTGTGCCACCCAGGCATCCCTCATTATTGTCTTTTTATTAATAAGTTGTTAGAGTTCTTTACATATTCTAGATTCAAGTCTTTCCTCAGATACAGGATTTACAATTTTTTTTTTTACAGCTTTAGCTTTGTCTTTTTATTTTTTTAATGGTGTCTCTTAAAAAACAAATTTTAATTTTAATTTTTTAAAGGTTTTATTTATTCAGAAGAGACACACACACACACACACACACACAGAGGCAGAGACATAGGGAGAAGGAGAAGCAGGCTCCCCGTGGGGAGCCCAATGCAAGACTCCATCCTGGGACCCCTGGATCACGACTGGAGCCGAATGCAGACACTTAACCACTGAGCCACCCAGGCATCCCATCGTGAAGAACAAGTTTTTAATTTTGATGAAACCTAATTTATCAATTTCTCTTTTTATGGATCATGTTGGTGTCACTCTTAAGAAATCTTTGCCTACAAACTCAAGGGCCGAAGGATTGTTTCTAGTAATACTTACCATTTTGCAGTCCCTTTTGCCTGATGTTAATATGGCCACCCCAGCAATTTCATGGTTCCTGTTTGTTTGGCCTATCATTTTCACATATTTTACTTTCAATCTACTTATACCTTTTAATCTAAAACTTGTCTCTTGTAAACTTACACCCTTACAATCTGTTTTCTGATAGTTGAGTCAATTCATGTTTTTTAGCATCTTTACTGAGATATAAATCCCATACGATAAGATTTACCATTTACACGGTCCAATTTGTTGTTTTTTAGCATATTCAGAGAGCTGTGCAACCATCACTAATTTTAGAACGTTTTCATGACCCACCTGTGCCCCCAAAGCCAGTATGTGCTAGCAGTCATTCCCTCCACAGAACCCTACTCTCTGCCCTAGGCAATCACTAACTTACTGTTTCTCTCTATAGATTTGCTTATTATAGGTGTTTTACATACATGAAATCCTATAAAATGTGGTCTTTTGTGGCTGGCTTTTTTCATTTGGTGTAATGTTCTGAGGTTCATTCACATTGTAGCACAAATCAGAGCTAATTTTTTATTGCTGAATAATATTTTATTATGTGGAAATACCACATTTATCTGTTTATCAGCAGATGGAACTGAGGTTTTTCCAATGTTCTGGCTCTTATGAATAATAATACTGCTCTGAATGTTTGTGTATAGATTTGTATGAATATATGTTTTCATTTTTCTTGGGTAAGTACCTCTGGAGGCACTGACAGACTGTTTTCCATGGTGGCGCATTTAACTATCCTGCTAGTAGCATATGGGAATTCCAACTTCTCCACATCTTCATCAAAACTTATTATCTATTATTGAAGTCATACTAGTTGGTTTAAAGTGATTTCTCATTGTGGTTTTGATTTGCATTTCCTTAATGACTAAAAATGGGGAACATATTTCACCAATATATATTTAGTACTATTGATGTGGTCTTATTTACATCCGTCATTTTACTATTTGTTTTCTATATATAACGTGGTTTTTGTTCCTCTGTTCCTCTCTTACTGCATCATTTGTGTTAAACACATTTTTAGTGTATCATTTTAATTCCTTTGTCCATTTTTAATTTATTTTTTGTGTTATTCTTGTGGCTGTTGCCCTAGGGATTATAATACACATCTTCAATTTATCACAATATTCAAGTTAATAATGACTTAATTCTGGCAAAATAGAATAAGTTTGCTTCTAAATAGTTTCATTTTCTCTCCCTTCTTTCTGCTATGGTTACTTATATCTTTACATTTAACAAATCCAAAAATACAGTGCTAGAGTTAGTGCTTTAAACATTGTTTTTAAAATAAAAAGGAAAAAAATACAATATTTTTATATTTACCCACATAAACACCATTTCTCCTTGTGAAATTAAGTTACTTTCTTGTGTTATCACCCTTTGGACTGAAGGAATTCCTTCAGTACTTCTTATAGGATAGGTCTGTTGGCAAGAAATTCTATTGATTTTTGATGATCTGAGAATGCTTTTACTTCACCTTCATTTTTGAAAGGTAATTACTCTAATTATTCACTGACCACTTTTTTTTTTTAATTTCATCACTTTCAATATGTCATTGCATTGTCTTCTGGCCTTCATTCTCTCTGGAAAAGTAGCAATTAATCCTATTCTATTGTAGTAATGAACTGTTTCTCTCTCGCTGCTTTCAAGGTTTTGTCTCTGAGCAGTTGACTATAATGTATCTCCTGTGGATATCTTTTTGTTGATGTTAATCGGAGTTCCATTATTTTTCTAAATATGTTTTCTGACCCTTTGTGGTTTCTCATATTTGTCTCAACCCCCATTACATGTAAGCTTCACAGTTTCCCACAAGTCTCCAAGGCCTTGTGTCTGGTCAATCTTCTCCAATTTTTAAAATGGATTATTTCTATTAATCTACCTTCAAGTTCACGGATTCTTCTTCTGCCATCGCAAATCTTGCTGGGAAGACCATCTCGTAGATTTTTCATTTCAGTTATTGCCCTTTTCAACTCTAGAATTTGCATTTATTCATAGTTCCATTTCTCTAATTAGACTTTTGAGTCATTGTCATCATATTTTCCTTTTGTTCTTTGAACATATTTATAATAGCTGCTCTAAAGCCTGTCTTTCAACCCCAACATCCAGGCTCATTCTAAGCCACTTTTTATTTTTTGCCTCCCTTCCCAATATATGTCATTCTTTCTTGCCTCTTTCCTCGCTCGCTTGCTCCTTCCTTCCTCCCTCCCTCCCTCCCTCTCATTCTTCCTTCCTTTCCTAAAAAGTTGACATTTTTATATAATACACTGTGGCAATGCTGAATTCTGATTAGTTTTTGAGTTTTTTTTTTTTTTTTTAATAAGGGGTTGGATTTCTATTGTGCAATCTGTCTCTACCCATGTGTAGGAGCCAGTGTCTTTGGATCAGTTTTTTGTTTTTAGGTCTTAGATTTATTATTTAATATGCATCCCCAGGTCTGCATAGTTTAGTGGTCAGCTGATGATGTGGGGAGAAATTGTGCTCAACATCTTGAGCCCTTAAGGCTTCCATCCTCTTCAACCAATCCATGTGTGTAGGTTGGGGAAAATATTCTAAGTTTAGCCAGTTCTCAATCTCCCTTCTTTTTCACTTTCTGGTGGAACTGGTATGGTCTGTCCTGTGTATGCCCATGTTTCAGCCAGCCGCAGATGTGTGAAGGAACTTTATCTAGTCTTCCTGTAAATCTCTGGTTTCCAGAGACTCATGTTACATTTCTTATTGGTTCATGGCAACCTTAGGCTAGCAAAGTTGCAGGCTTCCCCTGTTCACTTGCAATGATTTTGCTGCTTTTCATGGCCAAACCAATGGCCATTCTTCCTCTTCTTTACACCAAGTCTGTCCCTTATAGTAGAAAAGCTGCTGATTTTCTACGTTAGCTCCACACTGGTCAAACTACTATTCTTGGCAATAGCTTGACAGTAGAGGTGATGGGAAGTCTTTGGCAAGAAGTCACAGACTTCCACTGTTCTTAACCAAGGTTCTAGAAAGAAGTATTTCCAAATGGAAATCCTACTGTATTTGTTGTCTGTCCTTGGTCAATTTCCACAAACCTAAAATTGTTGCTTTTGACAATTTTGCCCTGTTTTATACTTGACTTTTGTGAAGAAGCTTCATGAACTTTTTCATGCCATCATAGCCCAAATCCCTCCTATTCTTTTTCTAAATTTTATTTTAAATATTTATTTATTCATGAAACACACACACACACACACACACACACACAGAGGCAGAGACACAGGCAGAGGGAGAAGCAGGCTCCCTGCAAGGAGCCCAATGTGGGACTCAATCCCATATCCTGAGATCATGCCCTGAGCCGAAGGCAGACACTCAACCCCTGAACCACCTAGGCATTCCAAATCCCTCCTGTTCTAAATCTTCTTGAACGTAATTTTAAAAGTTAATTTAATTTAAAAACAGTTATTTTAAAGTATGTCTCTTATAACTCTGGATCCCTGACTGAGCATGAGCATATATATGTTTGTGTGTGTGTATATTTTCATTGTTTTTCTTTTTGTTGTCAGTGACATGTTATTTTCCTAATGAGTCTGATTATTTTTGATTGAATGTAGACACTGCAAATGCAAATCAAGAATAATTTGAAGCCTTGGGATGATGTCATCTTCTGTCAGAGAGGCATTTTGTGCTATGACAGACACTAGAACCCCAAAATCTTCTAATCTCATGTCAGGGATTGGGATTATTTGAAGTTGGGGATTATTTCCTGTTATAACTAGTCTATTTAAGTTTCACTCTTCCTCCTAATATATCCCTTTCTCTTCATGGTTCTGTCCCAAGATGTCAGGAAGTTATCAGACTTGGGGGGCCCCAGCCTCCAAAGTTGGTTAGTTTCTCAATCTTCCAACTTCTTTTTCTGAAATTAGCAGATTCCATTTTCAGGAAAAGAAGTCTCAAATACCAGACACTGACTTTGGGTATTCTTTTTCTTCTAGATATTGGCCTCATAGTTATTCACCACCTTGTTGTATTTCAGTACCTTCCAGTGATTAAAAAAAATTTTTTTTATCCAGCTTTTCCTGGTTATTCCCCGTGGGAAATTGATCTGAACTACTTAGTTCACTATCATTGAAATTCTCCAACTTAATCTTAGGTATTAACTCATATATTTTCATTGAATTCTCCAACTTAATCTTAGGTATTAACTCATATATTTTCATTGCTTTCCTTTGTTTCATTGAACTTAATAGACATTCTTGTTTAATATTTTGCAGGAAGGATACCAGTATTTCAATTCTTTTCAGTCCTCACTGTGGCATCTGTTGTTTCAGCCAGCTCCCTCTATTGCCTTGTGTCCCTGTATGCTTTACAATATTTTGTAAATACTGTGAACTCACATATCTTGGAACTTTAGTAGTGGGATTCTTTTATGGCCCAAGTTGAAATGAATTCCTCTGGGGGAATTTCTGTTGCTTTTGTGCCATGCCCATATAAAGCTTCTCAGAGCACCATGGTGGTGTAATTTCATATGCTGACCTGCTAAAAGGGCTACCTTGTAATTTTAAATGCTGCAGAGTTTTTGGGTTTTATTGTGTGTGTTTTTGGTTTTTTAAATCTCTACCAAGAGCCAGTGTTAGAGAGAGGCTGCTAGTATCCTTGGGAGGGTGGTATGTGGATTCATTTCTAATTCAATTTTGGCCTGAGTGAACACCAGTCTTAAAAGGTTTGCACTGAGATTTATCTTCTATTCTTATGGCCTCAAAAATGTGAGAACCAGAACTCATGCTTCACCTGATGGCAAATTCCCTCATGGCAAAAGCAGTCTTAGAGCTCTACTTAGCATACTGGCTTCCCATTGTCACTTAGTTGTGGACATCTTGATATTCTTGCCTTTCTTGCCAGAAAGGGTCAATGGATCTAAAAGGAATTTTTTAACCTTTTATTCACATTTTGGGTAGATTTCAGACAAAGAGTATCTTCTGTGGTCCTAGCGCAACATCATGCTGGATATGTAGTGTCCAGTTACTTTTTTTAATACCTGTCTCCCAGCAGAGGGTACTGTAGTGATTAAGAGTGTAGGCTACATACATAAAAGTATAGACTGGTATAGCTATACTGCCTAGGTTCGAACCTCAGTTCCGCTGATCATTAACTATGTATCATTAGCCAAATAGCTTAACTCCTCTGTTACAGATTCCACAGAGGATTTCTGGACAGATGACATATGCAAAGGCCACAGAGCAGTGCATGCCAGGGTGCTTAGGGGCTGGCTGTGATGTTGGTGATGCTGACTTCCACGATACACTGACCTGGTCTTGGACATCCTCATCGCACAACTCCAGCTGCATGATACGCTCAAAAGGTCGGAAAAGTGCTTCATTAAAGTGAAAATGAGGCGGCTCATTCCAGTCAGTGAGAACCTCTGTCAGTATATCATGGATGAAGGAAACAGCCTTCTGAGACACATGCCTTTCCTTATGGCAGGCAGCCTACAAAATTTGGGGGACAGAAGAATACTATTAGGACTCTACACAAGTAAGAAAATGGTTTCTTAAGTTCCTAACCCACCTCGTTGTGGGGAGGCAGAAACAGCAATTCTGTTCAAATAAATAAATAAATAAATAAATAAATAAATAAATCCAAGGAATAAGTATAGATACAGAGCACACTAAAATTGAATTTTTAATAATTTAATTGAAGATCACACTCAATTTCCCCAAAAAATAAGAGTTTCTGTTCTCTTCTCCCCTCCCCCACTTGTAACATGACAGTTTTCTTGGGTGGTATAGAACACATGGACTATAAAGATACCAGAACCTAGTCTGGGAACTGCCTATGGCCTCATTACATTCCAAATATGAAGATCAGACGGGTCTTCTGTCCCTCAAGGACATGGGCTTGTTGCCCCAACAATGCTCTAATTGACTCACAGCTTTGTATGCATGCCCTTGAGGAGCCTTTCTCACACCGACCCTGAGCTTGGATGTGTGACCTGCTTTGGAAAATGGAACAATACCAAATATTGTATCAGTAGAGAACTGAAAAGTGGTTCTGATTTGGGGTTTGCCATCTTGCTTTTCCTTGGGGATCCTGAGAATGCCATGTGAATGAGCCAGGGCTGGTCTGCTGAAGGGAGAGAGATTGTGAGGAGAGGCCCATGTGTCCCACCCTCCTAGTCAAGGCTGTCATGAACCATCTGGCCAACAGGTGCACAGGTGAGGCAAGTGGAGCTCAGCTAGGCTTGGCTCAACCTAGCCCAGATTTCTGACCCATAGAATCATGAGCAAAATAATTGGTTGTTATTTTTATGTTGCCAGATTTAGGTGGTGGTTTATTATAGTGTAACAGATAACTGATAACAACAGATAACTGATAACTGTTATTATAGTGTAACAGATAACTTGCTTCAGTGCAATCCTTGCTGTTTTTCCATGACCAAGTTGTTACTTTCTACCCTTATTCTTTACTAGAATGTTCTCAGTTTAGCAAATTAAGTTTCAAAAAATACTTTATTTGATGATGTAGCTCCATCAGATTAACACTAAAGAACTAGTAAGAACAGTTATCACTGAAAAACAAGGCAACAATTTTTCTCAACTAAGAAGTAGCCAGTTGTCATATATTGAAATGCTTAGTTCATAGAATTTAATTTATCATACTAACCACTTTGTATGAGAGTGAAAGGGGTCCTAGTATAATTAATTTTGTTGGGAAAACTAGGGCATATGGCTTGCCTACTTACTGGGTACTTCCCAGGGTATATTTTAGCTATGGGAAAAAAGAAACTGGCAGGAACAAAAGACATTGTTATCATTATGTATAAAAGTGAAACTCCAGCCTCATTTGAAACTAAAGCATAAAGAATGAAAAGCCAGCTGTAGGAGGTACCTAGCCAAGTCATGTGATTGTAAAGAAAAAGGGTCAGGGTGACACCAAGGTGGTACTGCCCTTTGGAGTGCTTTTCCAAATGCCATGATGTACAACTGGAGAACAATGCTGTCTGTGGCCAGGTGATGGAAACCTCATCATTGCTCCCAGGCCACAGTACTCTTTGTCTGTACACCACCTGGAAAACCCGGTACTGGCTTTACTGCAGGAACTCTCTGAGCTTTTGCTCCCTGCTTTCCGAAGCTCACCTCCACCAGGTGTGGGGCCACAAGGCTCCAGCAGCGCATCACATGGAACAGTGGCCTCGACTTGCTCCGCACGATCCTCAGCATGGCATCCCCAAGGCGGAATAGGTGGAGGGCGCTTTTGCGGTCATGGGTGGACTTAACTTCTCCTATAAGAAGGCAAGACCATAAAAGCCATAAAGCCCAAACACAGAAACAGTTTGATCTATTCAAGTACACAGAGAGGATGAAATCAAAGGGGATGAAAATACTGAGTGGTGGGATTGGTCACTGTGGGCCAACCAAGAGAGGAGAGGACCCTGGATCCAAGAGAGATGAAGTGGTTCACTCAACACCTCTGCTATTGGCCACCACCTCCCCAGTGCCGACTGTGACAAGCATGAGCAATGCTTGTGGATAAGGGAGAGTGGTATTGTGGTTAAGTGGGGATGGGTGGGGAGTTCAGACTGTTTGGGCTCAGCTCCTGGCTGCACCAGTTAGGAACTGGGTTATCTTGGACCAGAGATTTTCCTCTCTAAGCCATATTTCTTATAAAAGTAGAGATAACAGGACTTACCTCTTAATGTTACTTTAAGGATTACATGTGGTGATACAAAGTGCTTATCGAAGGGCTTGGCAAGTACTAACCGCCCCCTGCTGGTAGCCATTAACATTACTGTTGTCACTCTCATCGTCCACGTTGCTAATCTTCAATGGCACCTTCGAAGCCCCTGCTAAGCAGGTCAGGCCTCTTTCTACTCAGTAACATGCCTGTTAACCTGCTCGGTCTTGCTTCAGGGCAGTCTTTGCCTAGGGTGATCTTTTGCTACTCCTTTGCCCTGTCACCTTAGTCTTCTCTCTTCTTGTCACCTTCTTGCCCATGTCCTACTGCTTTTCTCATACTGCTTCCAAATGCTGATCACTATTGCGCTCTTCTTCTTCTTCTTTTTTTTTTTTATTAAGGTTTTATTTATTTATTCATGAGAGACACACACAGAGAGAGGCAGAGACACAGGCAGAGGGATAAGCAGGCTCTATGTAGGGAAGCTGTTGTGAGACTCGATCCCGGGACTCCAGGATCATGCCCTGAGCCGAAGGCAGAGCTTCAACCGCTAAGCCACCCAGGTGTCCCTATTGCACTCTTCCAATCAGAAATGCTCCTTTCTAACTAGTCTTGCCATATCAAACTTCAAAATGACAGTAATAATAATCACTGACATTTACCAAATGTTTACTCCGTATCAAAAGCTGTGCTGGTTCTTTATGCGTCTTTAATCACAGTTTATTTTTTAAAGCAAACCTTTAACAAATGTAGTTATTGCCATTTTACAGATTAGAAAATTAAATGTCAGACAGGTAAACTAACTTGCCTAAGACAATGTAGCTGGTAAATAGTGAAGGCAGCATTTTAACTCACGTCTGGTTCATTCCAAAGCAAATGTCTCCTTCTTAGGTCTGCTGCCTCTTCCTGACCCTGCTCATGGCTTTTTTGTAAGCTGAGAGCTTGCTGATTTCTCCAATCCAAAACACTTTGAAGATTGCCCCTAGACTCAGGGATGCTCTGGAAGTCCGATGGGTCTGGAAGGTTGGCTTTATATAGCTAAGGTTTTAAAGTCTATTAAAAACTATCAGGAAAAAGACTGTGTTTCTCAAATCATAATCTGTAGTAAGGATCAAAAGACCAAATATATACACTTAGAACTTCAGACCCTTAAAGATGGGACCTCAAGAGGCTGTACAATCCAACCTGCCACCACAATGTGTCCCCAGCACATGGCTCCGTGCCTTTGCCCAAACCCATGGGCAGGGGCTGGCTGTTTTGGCATGACAACCTTGGCTGCTGATGGACGGTTGCATTTGAGAGCAATCTGCCTCCCATTCAGGACCCCTGGGCAGCTTGGTGTAACTCTGCTCCCTTCAAGAGGACCTTGCCTTTTCACTTGGCCTCATCAGTGAAGACAGTGACATTGACCTATCATTAATAGGAGATGCCTCGACAGCAGTTTTTCTAAGAGCAGCAGCAGGCTTCTTCCTCTTCCACTCTTCCCTCCCACCAGCGCCTTGTGGAATCAGGAGTCGCTTCTGCAAGCGGCTGAACTGAATAAAGCAAGAGATGTGGCCTGTGATATGGAGAAGGGGTCCTACCCTCAAGGGAAGCTATCTGCACCCTGAGTAGCCACATAATTTTCTCTCAAGCACAAAACTTCACAGAACACCTAGCACGGCTCCGGTGGTGACAGGTGCAGTGCTGGCCATAGCAGCATTTCTGTTCACACAGAATAATGTTGCTTCCACCCCCTGCATGCCTGAAAAGTGATGACAAGTCTGCACTAGACCTTAGCCAGGGTGACCCTGTGTGACGGTAACATGGATTCAAGCGTTCAAGCTGCTTTTGGAGATCTGGGCTGCTTCCTGCTAATCTCATGGCATGGTCTCTTCAGGGAAAGAATTACCTGGCATTGCCAGAGAGTAATCCACTGTATCTGTAACAGAATGGAAGAGCTGGGACTGTGATGCTTTCTTCAGCTGGTAAAGGAACCCTCCCAAAGCCATCAGGTTCAACTTATCTGTAGCATCTTCAAAGAGCCTGAAAGAAACAGATTTGTTACTTGGAAGCAATTCCATGAAGTCTTTGTGGTAGAATGATTATGGTAATTTTGTTAAATGTGATTAATGAAAATGTGTAAACATTGTAAAGAAATGTATGTTATACTTCTATACCTATTATTACTGTGTACAAGTCTGCTCCAACTAAGAGATTTTAATCTAAAGGGCCCAGACCATTAACAACAATAAAAATCTTTGTTTCCCTATGGCTTAGCTCAGCCATACTAGGTACTCATAAAATATTTAGTGAGACATTGAAAATTGGCAAAACATCACTCCCTGAAACTGAGTAACTGGGAATGGAATCATTAGAACTAGCTTTAGTTTCATTAAGCTATAGCAAAAAAACAAAAACAAAAACAAAAAAAAACCCCACTAAATTAATTAAGGCTTTTGCTGGGCTAAAATTGATGAATCTAATGCTTGGCATGGCCTTGGGAAGGCTACAAAACCAAAGTACACCCAAACCTGTAAGTCCCCTGGGGGTGGGCCTAGCTTTCTTATTGCCTCTGACTCATACATCCAGAGCCCTGGACTTGGTGGGAATGCAACTATCTACTAAATGAATAAATATTCCCTAATATAAGGGACTTTCCTTTTGTTTTCAACTCAGCTGGGCGCAGAGATTTCTAGCAGAAGGAGCTGGGAAGGAAGAGGGGAGCACAGCAGCAGGGCTAAGAGTAGGATCAGAGGCTCACTGGAATTCAGAAGGTTGGCATCAAATGTGGGTTTATATGGCTAGCCTTCCACTGCTCTTGGGTCATCCTGCTGCCTGCCCTCCAAATCTGAGTTCACACTAGAAGGGCAAGTAGCCCTGTGGCTGTCACATGCTGGGCAAGGGAGAGGGTCTCCAGCAGAAATTGAATAAGGAGTCCCTTTTGTATATGAGACACACAGCTTTTAAGATGGGAATTAGTGGATTCAGCATTCACAAATTATTGAAACAAAGATTTTTTCATGCTATTTTGTAATTCCAATTTATTTTATTTTATTTTTATTTACTCATAGAGATGGAGAGAGAGAGAGAGAGAGAGAGAGAGAGAGAGAGAGAGAGAGGCAGAGACACAGGCAGAGGAAGAAGCAGACTCCACGCAGAGAGCCTGACATGGGACTCGATCCAGGGTCTCCAGGATCACGCCCTGGGCTGCAGGTGGTGCTAAACCGCTGTGCCACCAGGGCTGCCCCAATTTTAATATCATATAGTTTCTGGGTCTTATTAACAATTTCTTCTCTTGTTCCTAGTAAGAAAGCAGTAGTGAATATTATGCCCCACCTGACAACTGTATGCTACTTTCCAGATGCCAAAACACTTTCATAGCCACCGTTTTGGATAAATAGGAAAAAAGAGATTACTGTACCAAGTGAGCAGATGGAGAAACCGAGTCTCAGCCTAACTACTTCTATAGACATGACTTTGTAGTTGGTCAGTGTCAAAGTCAGGAAAGAACTCAGGTATTCTGTGCTCCAGTGACTGCTGCTCTGCTCCCCCATTCCCTCTCCCTGAATAAACTTCACTGCATCAGTGCTGAGCACACCATGACCCAGTGTGGAGAGGGGAATGAGGTGGGACTACATGTTACTGGTGACTCACCACAGTTTCAACATCAGAAAGCCTCACCTGGGGTTATGTTTTTTTCCTCTCCACCTTAACATGGTTAAATAATATATCACACACTTGGGTGTGGGACTATAGGCATTAACTATCATAAAAATTATGAAGTTTTATGATTTATCAAGCTCTGTCTTAAATGCTTTGAGTGTAGTAATTTAACTCACGGCCACCCTGGGAGAGGGTGACTTTATGACCTTATCTTACGTGAGGCAATCAGGGTCAAGGGAGTTGAACCTGCCCAAGGTCATGGGGTAAGTGCAGAGCTCTGGCCCTAGGGAGCCTGCCTGCAGGGCCTCCGGTGTTAGTCAACAGACAGCAGTTCATTTTAAGTGTGGGGTGTGATGGGAGACAGAAGAATATTTGAAAAAAAAAAATCAAAAGACGCTTAAATGATAAATCCAGTTGGCCTGGAAGTGATATTGAGACTAGAGACATGGATGCAATGTTGCCCACTGGCACTCCATGGTGAGCAGTCCTTTGAGGTGTGGTGACCATGCTGCGTTCATACCTGTCAGCCTGGGTGGACAGCGTGAGCACAGCCTTGGCGGCACTGCTCCCTGTCATGAGGCTGCCTCCACGGAAGTCGGAGGCCCGGCCTCGGCTGCCTTCTCTGACCAGTTCTTGGATGGAGAGGGGCTGGATGACAGGGGCTGTGCTCAGAGAACTCTCTGGCTCTAGGTTCTGCTCCGGGGCCAAGCCCTCACACTCTGGGTCCCCAAGGAGTCCGGAGCCTCCTGATGCCTTCTGGGGCTGGCTGATGGTCAGAGGGGGCTGAGCGGTGCCGTCGCTGAAATGGGTGTGCTCCAGCGTGCCCACGTATTCACAGACCCTAGACAGAGTCATGGACAAGCAGCTGTTAGGCTGTAGCTCAGCAGGCCAGCTCTGTAAATCCCACAGTAAGAGAAGGATAACCTAGGCAGTTCTGCAGTCCTCCCCAATTTCCTTCCTTCTCTTATTATAGCCACCTCTCCCTTTCCTCCCTCACTATCCATATTATTTTTTGAGTTGGACTAGATGACCTGGAAGTGAGGTAGGGATTCCTCGATTGTCTTATCCCATGCTGGGAGAAAAGTGGGTAACAATAGCCCTGCTCATCCAGTTCTATCTTGTCTAGCCTACTGGCTTATTTGGATGATGGCTGTCCGAGGGAGCTTTCCCAAGGGGCCCTCTCCCCACTCTCTGTGCTCTGATTAGGACTCAGGAAGTGCTTCTTTAGGATCCCAGAATGTAGGGCCCCTAGCCACAGCAGGCCCTTTCTCAAGGACACCGGCCTCGACAGCTCCATGTAACTAGTGCTGGGGTGGTTCCCTAATCATAGTAAGCACAGAGAAGTATCACAACGTAGGGTGTAATTGCCAACTTCCAAATTATTTGTGCCAAACACACCCTGGGACTGAGATGGTTCCTAAGAGGCCCAGGATCACAGAAGTCATCCAGTTATAGGTAAGGATCATCCCAGATAATTCGCTCTCGTGTTCCACAATCGGGCAATTTTTTGATTCCATATAAAATACTCTGATGCAATTTATGTCATTTTTTTTTCCTGTTTTGCTTGTGAGAGCAGTGAAGAGCAGCAGGTTACCAGCTCCACAGTTAAACCCATTTTGTTCCAGATTGATTCACACTGGCTCTTTCACATGTTCCTCTCAAGATGGGTTTTTCAATGCTTGAATGGTCTGTATGCTTCTCTATTTGAAACACAACAGACCATCATAGCCGTATTTGCTCTGAGGGCATCAAAGTGAACTGAGATCTAGGTGCCTAGGCCTGCCCCTGACTGCCCCATTGCTGTTTTGCTAGAACTGAGCTTGGTGCAAGGCATTGGGTGTATGCTGAGGAGGAGGAAGAAACAGCTGGCACCAGCCCCATGCCTGCACCGTGGGCAGCGCTTCACTGTCCCAGGTCTGCCCAGATGCCAATGCCTGGGAGATGTGCTGTCTTAGCCGCACGGGGACTGTGGAGCTATTGCTGCTGCCATCTTACGGGTGTTATAAATTCTGTAACTGATTGGTGTTTGGGGATCTTGTCATGCACCTGAACACGTGTGGCCAGCAGTCCGGGTTGTGGCTTCCCATCTCCAGGCCTACGCTGAGGATGGCATCCATGCACAGGACGTGGGCGGTGTGCAGCCAGACTCCCTGTAGCTTCCCGATCTGCTCCAGTTTCTGCTCCACTTTTAGCTTCACTGTGCCAGAAAGACATTCATTAATGTAATGGTCCAAGAAGGAGACAGAGAGGGAGAAGGGAAGGGATGAAAAGGAAAGAACAGGCGGCATGAAAGAGTAAAAGGGAACCCGCAGATGTCACTTGATGTCACTGGCAGCAAGCTCCTTGGTAACAGGTCCCTGTGGTTCATTGTGCAAACTGCCCAGCCCTCAGGCTGCACAGACCCTGGTGAGCCCAGCTCTGCTGCTTCAGAGTTGGGCGGACCCTCGGCTGGTGGGCACAGTCCTTGTAGACCCACCTGTGGGTTCTAAGTCAGAGCAGTGAGGATGGGCTTTATGTGCCAACACTAGTGGAAGCCCTTTGTGCCTGAGCCCCCCCACCCCAACCCGTACTCAAATTGATAAGAGAATTCCTGGCAACCTGCAAGTTCTCTGAGGTTTATATGATGTCACATGTTCATGATGACGATCATTCAATGCGTATGGATCTGTGCTCTGAGTACATGATGACTGCTTTGTAACTGGAAATCATCAGGTCATTTCACTCCCTGAGTTTACATTTGTATTTGTCATCTTCAAATGATACTTTATTTTTATTTTTATTTTTTATTTTTTTAAAATTTATTTATTTATTTATTTATTTATTTATTTATTTATGATAGTCACAGCGAGAGAGAGAGAGGCAGAGACACAGGCAGAGGGAGAAGCAGGCTCCATGCATCGGGAGCCCGACGTGGGATTCGATCCTGGGTCGCCAGGATTGCGCCCTGGGCCAAAGGCAGGCGCCAAACCGCTGCGCCACCCAGGGATCCCTAAATGATACTTTTTAAATTATAGATGACTAATGATAAAGGATGCAGAAGGTGACTTAATGTGTCAATTATGCAAAATGCCAAGGCAATGTCAAATGACGACATCCTCCATGAACAGAGGCTTCAATTCATTGGAAGATGGGTCTGGTGGGATAAGTGAAGGGTGGTCCAGGACCCAGAAACATAGCACGTGCACTTCAGGGGATGCCAAACCATACTCCTGTTGTAAGAGGCAAACGGAGTTCGGCAAAGCATCATCTTGTCTCATGGATGTGATACTGATTTTATTTTTTGTCTGTATATAATTTGATATTGGCTTTATAATTTTTTAAGAACTTTAAATGTAAGGATTTTTAATGGAATTCATGGTTGTGCATATTAAGCATATATACTAGATCATCATCCACTTCATTGGCCAACTGATTTTAGCAAGTTAAAAATCAACTCTTTCCAGAGTTCATGATGCTCAGGTTTTTCTCTTACAAGGACAAAGTTTTTCTGAAGCTCCTCTCAGGTACCTCCACAATTTGATTTCCCTATTCCAAAAAACTGGCTACTCTGCCTTTTCCCACTAGGACCTGGGGCTCCTCAGATGTATACTCTGTGAAGTGCCAAAACAAGTGGCCAGATGATGACAGAAGTCTGAACAGCTCAGCCAGGTGGGCCCCTGGTGTCCTGTAGGACTCCTGTTAGAAGCCAAGAGCACTTTTCTAGTCACTGGGGCTAGTATGTCTCTTGTTCCAGAGGGATCTACTGTAGGGACTCTATGGGGGCAGCCGTGTAAAAGAGAGCCCAGCCTGGGACCCAGCCTGGCATTCTGTGATCAGCAGTAAACATGCTGTGCGTCGCACGAGGCACAGGTATAGGTGTCTGCTCACATGTGGGGGTGTGTGTAGACTGCATGTAATGAGCCAGGTGGACTCTGGCCCTTCAGCATTACCTTGTGCTATGGCATCACTGGGTTCTTGGACTTCCTTTTCCTCTTTTTCTTCCTGGACACAGGAGGCAGCCGCCATCTGGGCAAGGGCTGAGGCGCAGTTAGCCGCAACCCCTTTAGAGATGAGACATGATTACCACTCTAACCAGCTACCAAGAAGGGCCTTTCCAAAAGACTTGTTTCCCACTGGGGCCATCCCCAGGGTGTTCCCCAGGGAACTCCCCTCCCCCCCCACAGGCCGTGGGTCAGGGAATGTTATTCCCTTCAGTACCTAGAGCACAGCTCAGCCGTGCTGCTTTCCGCAGCCCATCGAGGCTCATGCAGATGGCATCACGTTCCTTTTGGTTCTGCTCTTTGATGCCTTCAGCTCCCAGAATGAAGGCCAACCCTTTGGAGCTTCCTGCCATTCGGCCAGTCAGGGGGGTTGATAGAGTATCGATCAGGTTCTTCCAGCAACCCACCAGAATATAGCGAGCAAAAGCCACACCTAGAACGTGAAGGGGCATGGATCACTTGTCGGAGGCAAAAAAGACTGGGCAGAGAATGGCCTGGGATCTTCTGACCATCAAAGTAGCAATACTGAGCTGTAAGCAATTCTACTATGGGAAAGAGAAGTTACTGGATATTGGATTACATTTTACTTCGTGTTTATAAATAATGGATGTTGCATCATCAGCTGGATGTTGCTAAGTAACTTTCATCAGGCACTTCTTCTACCAGGATAAAATGTTAAATGTTCATTTATGTCAGCCCAGAAGGCTGCCACTTAGTGATTTAATTGCTGGTAACATATCTGATGTATGTATATCCATAAACTCAAGACCCAAGTCATTACCTGCCACTGTAGAGTCATCAATTCTCCTGCCTTGAGTGAAAGGAGACTCGGTAGACGCAGAGGCCATCAGCTGGCCCCCAATCGCACTGCTCTCTAAGCCATCAATGTCTGCCAAGGAAAAAGAGCAAGGTTTTCCCTGATTAGAACACTCCAGTCAAAAACAAACAAATGGCCACCACAATATTCATTCCCCACCCCCCCCCAAACATCCATTGGATCTATTTTGTACTGAGTATGTAAATTGTTACAGAATGTTATTTTTATCAGAATGTTAAAATTTTTGTTTTATTCTTCCAGTCTAGTTTTCTTTCATTGTTAGAACATTCTTCTGTTAGGCCATTGTATATTTTTTATTTAAAAAAAGAAAGATAAACTCTGCTATATCTGTTGTTAGAAAATCTATTGATTTAGAACATTTTGATGTCTGAATATTCGTTTTCTCCAGAAAAGGGGCATTATTCCCAAATTTTATATGCACAAGTTGCTCCAAGATGGATTTCTCTTTCAGAACTTCCCCATAAGAATGAAGAAGAGACTAAGATCTCTTTGGTCAGATAGCCACATAATCTGATTCCAAAGTATAATAATCACTTGATAATAATACCTTAAATTTACAAAGTGTTTTCACATTTAGATCTTCCTGACAGCTCTAAGTAGGTAAGCAGGGTAGGTATTATTTTTCCTATTTCATTGAGAAAGAAATACATATTTCTTATTTATAAGAAATTTAGTATTTATATCTTTTGACTCCCATTTGGGCCTCTTTCCATGACACCATTTATCCAGCTCAATAAAGGAATCTTAATTCTCCTTCATTTGAATTTTTGTTAAAACAAACTCTCATCTCTGGCATTAGCTCAATGAACCATTTCTTAATATACTGGCAAGAAAAGGCTGGCCTGGGATTGAGAAGTCTTAGCTCTGAATTAAGTAGCCTTGCAGTCCTGGGTTATACTGCATCCTCTGGGCCTCGATGCCTCAGTGGAAAGGAAAGAACCATTGGAAAAGTGACCATGGAATTGGAGCATATGTACTTGAATGCAACTAACATAGCCAGGAGGGAATGGTAAAAGAGGGTAGCCAAAGTTTATTCCTTGACTGTACAGCTTGATCCTCACCAACAGGATGAGACTTCTCTGTATGGTGTTTGAAATTTATTTAATTAGATCTTTGCTTCTTACAGGAAGTCCAAGAAGCCTAGAGACTTCTGGCAACATATCTCTTTGACAATTACAAAGACAGTAGATCTTAAAAGTTCTCATTACTAGAAAATTGTAACTGTAAGGTGTTACAATTTGTAACTTTTAAGGTGTAAGGTGACATTAACTAAACTTATCATGGTGATCATTTTGCAATAACACACATGGACGGACACACACACACACGCATATCATTAAGTCATCATGTTGTTCGCCCTGGACTACTATGTTATATGTCAATTATATCTTAACAAAACTGGAGAACAAAAGCAGGGAGAAATCTCAATGGCTACCAAAGTGGGAACAGGGCAGTTTCATTGACATTAATTTGACTTTCAGTCAAATGGTCTTATACTATTCAACAGAAATTGCCATTTCTGAAGGTTATGATGTTTCCTATATGCTAGATGAAGGACTGATGAATTCAAGTAATACAAAGTTTATCTAAGTGCTAAAATCCCACAGTTCTATAGAACACTGTTACATGACCTCAGGAATGGCCACAGTTTGTACAACGTTGATAAGGTTGCTACACCTTATCATGATGAAAAGATCAGATGGAAGCTTCCAAACCCCAGGTTAACTGCTGCTCAAGTTTATTTGCCATTTCAAACCTCGATTTTGCTACAAAGAATCACAGAATTTTATTTTGTAGAATTCGTATGAAAAAGCCTATGTTTATAACTTTATATCTAATTAGAGAACTCTCTCCTGGATGCAGTGACTGAGCTTACAGTTCCATGATAAAGAGGTGGCTGATGCACAGGATCACATGATGCATGTGGCCCAGTGAATGGCCTGTTATTTGCTCATTTTTATAATTATCCAATGACTCCCTTTGTTAAGGTTCAGGTAAGAGGTTCACAGACATTAACTTTGGCAGAAACTGTGGTATTTGAAAATTAAAGCTGGCATGTTAGGATCCTTATCCAAATTCCAAGGCACTTTGAGAAGTTCTGGGCAGTACCCTCAATCGCTATTGGAGGGATTTTACAAGGACAGATGGAAACCATGCACTACTTACAGGATGACTGAATAAATGTCTCACACACTGATGAAATCCTGCACTTCAAATGGATGTAAAAGTTATCATGATTATTCAGATACAAATTGGTAATCTGTCCGGTGATCATGATCCCCAAAGTTAAGGACCTTAGTCTTGCTTCTCCCAGTTGCATCCTAGTTCTAGAACCAAGACTCCAAATGCCAGCCAATGACTACAGCTCTGCCTGCTGTGGTCAGACCTCACTATTGTTGGGGTCAGTAGTCTAGTGTCTACCTGTCTGTAGTCTACTCTGCCACCTTCATAAGAGCCCCCCTGATACCAGCCATAGGTTATATAACATTCCCTTTGGAATCTACCTCCTCCCCAGACTGTCCTGTCCTGGTCCAGTCATGCTCCTGCCTGTGTGCCTTGCCTGACACAGAGCCATGTGGACACATGGCATGACAGAGAGGACAGGGAAGGTATCTGGCATAGGGTTGTGCCCTACATATCCTGTCGGCCGGAGCCATGAGATAACTCAGATCAGAAATCAGTCTGGAGGGCAGCCCAGGTGGCTCAGAGGTTTAGTGCCGCCTTCAGCCCAGGGCCTGATCCTAGAGACCTGGGATCGAGTCCCACGTCAGACTCCCAGCATGGAGCCTGCTTCTCCCTCTGCCTGTGTCTCTGCCTCTCTCTCTCCCCCTCTCTCTCTGTCTCATGAATAAATACATAAATAAATAAAATCTTTAAAAAAAAAAAGAAATCAGTCTGGGAACTCAGATCAAACACAACACAAGCCTGGACCTAATATACGAAGGCTATGATGACCAAAGTCTTGAGCACTCCTTGGTCTTCACCTAACATTGTAGTTAAGCCATAAAAAGCCATGAATGACTGTTTTCACCAAAAATCCCATGAAAACAAAAAAACAAAAACCTGCTTCATGGCCACACCCCATAGTGCTCTTTATGCTCTCATGTAAAATTTCTAATAAACGGGATTTTAAAAACTCTGGACACTGAAAACAAAGATGCTGGGCAACAATTTGGCATTATTTTTTAATTCTTATATAGCCAGGAAGAGAAGAGAGGACCTCTGATGTGAATAGGAAATGGGAAGGAAGCCAAGTTTAAAATGAAGCATTTTACATTTCTGGCAAATTCAGGAGCACTGAATGATATAGGATTATCTATTAGCATGTGAGAGCTTCCAGGAATACTTCTGGGCTTTATGCCCAGAAAGTACTTCATATCCTTAGGAGAGGCTTATAGTTTCACCTTGACAGACACAGGTGCTATAAAAAGTCCTTATCTAATGGGGCATAGTGAGCCCTCTAGGGTCCCACATGAAAAACAGAACATTCCTATTAGGTGAATTCATGACACTTCCCTGGCACTATTACTGGCTGCCAGGGAAGCTTTGTGGGTGTCATTTCAGGGCTGGCTTCTCCAAAAGGGGCTCTGGGATGTCAGCCCTCCCTCCCCACCAAGTACCCCAGAGCTGTGTGAGGAGCCACTGACCTGTCAGCATGGTGATGAGGGGCAGGCTGTTATCCTCTGGGCTGCCCCAGTAGCCAGCCTCTCCCAGCATATTTCTCTCAAGCACCTGATGGTAGAGCTCCTCAATCCAGGCCTGGGAGAAGACCATCAGCACCCCGCTGGTCTGCACCTGCTTCATGAACTCCTTCTACAGAGAGGATCACAGGAGAAGGTGACCAGAGAGGATCCCCTGCAAATGGACAGGTTCCTCTGCTGCCTCGTCCCTTCACAGGTCCCCTATCTGAATCAAGGGTTCTAAGGAAAAATAAAACCTTGTTGATTTGGGTGAGGGGGAGGGGGTGTTTAAGGGAAGGGGTAATCAAGATGGGGAAGAAGTCCTAAACTTCATGAAGTTCCTTTTAATTATGATACATTTTTAAGACATCTTGTAGAAGGGATTAGGAACACTGCGTCTCATAGCTTCAGTCTTTGATGTGTGGGGGGATTAGAAACAGCACAGAAATATGAATAGAGCAACTCCCTCTCACTGCCTAAGAGCAGCGGAGATGGAATGTGTTCTCTGAAAAAACCTGTGTGGCTCAAGAGCTACTTGAATTATGCTCATGAAGCCACCAGTTATCCTTGGAAATTTATAATTTATCAAGCAAACAAATTATGGCTAATGCCCTTCAGGCAGTTCCATGGACTGAGGCTCATGAACTGATATTAGGGCAGACCATGGAGGGGTTCAGTCCAGCAAGGGAGCGAACCACAACATAATCACCATCATTCTCATTCCACAGCTTACAGGAGGTGCTTTATTACTGACAACTAGTAAGCTTAGTAGTGGGTCACAAGTAGATCTGAGTACATTCTGGAAGACAATGAAGAGTTTTTGTAACAGCATGCCTTGATTTTAGGTAAAGGGGACCATTCCCTGCATACCTTCTAATGTTTGAATATTCTGATCACTTGTTTTGAATATGGCTTACACATATTTGTGTTTAACAATTCCACTGAGTGAAATCACAGCCATTGGCAGGCAGCCACTCCCAGGCACTTGGGGTCATTGGCTCTCTGGAGCAAGGTGGATAGCCATGTGGCCCACAGTATTATGCAAATTGTACTGCATCCCCTTCCACCCTCTGCAGCCCCACAGGCATTGCCCATTCCACACTATCCCTCCCAGGTCATTGATGCTCGGCTTGCCAGCCACTTGCCCTTGGAGGGTCTGAACAGAGACCACACACTCACCATCATGCTGGGTGCCAGGGTGGGGCGCTTCCGGTAGTAGTCGCCGTGGGAGAGCTTCAGGTTGAGCAGCAGAGCACAGTGCGCTGCTGTGTACAGGCTGTCTGCGTTCATCAGCATCTGCAAGCTGAGGCTGCCACTCCCATCAAATCCGGGAGAGTGCATCATGCCTACAGGAGAAAGTTAAGAAACCTCTGGAGTTGCAAACAAGGTGCCTGGCAAGACTGGCTTATGGAGTGTCCCTGACCCAATCCTAGGGATAGGAACATACATCTTATAGGACACTCCTGGAAAGCAACTACAGCCAGCAAGGAGTATTGGGAGGGTCAGAAACACACCCCAGCTGAATGGGGAGGCGCATGCGCTCCAGAGTGAATCCATTTGGGCAAATCTTGATGAGTTACTCATAAGCTACTTTGGTAAAAATTGCTCAGATCCCCTAAGTCTCAGCTTCTTCACCTATAAGTAGGCAAAATAATCAACTGTGTCCATCTCCTGATCAAAGTCTCTGACAACTTCCCATCACAATATAATAAAACCTTGACTTCCCCTCTTCTTTCCTCACTCCCCACAGCCACCTGGACCTCTGCTGCTCCTTAGACCACACCAAGACTGGGCCTGCCTCAAGGCCTTTGCATTTGTTCTTCCCACTCCCCAGAATGATCTTGGTATGCCAATTTCACTGCTGTATTATTCACAATTGCCAAAATATGGAGACAACCGAAGTGTCCATCAACAGATGAATGGATAAACAATATATGGTACATACCATGGAGTTCTTATACATGCTACACCATGGATGAGCCTTGCAAACATGCTGAGTAAAATAAGCCTGGCACAAAATGACAAATATCATATGATCCACCTATGTGAGGTACAGGCAAGAAGAGACAAATTTATAGACACAGAAAGTAGATTAGAATTTTCCAGGGGCTGGGGAGAAGACTTTCTCTTTGGGATGATAAAAAAAAAAAAAAAGTTCTGTAAGTAGTGATGTTTGTACAACATGGTGGATGTAGTGTGTTCCATTGAATTGTACACATAAAAGTGGTAAAAATGGCAAATTTTAAGTTTTATGTGTGTTTTTATCCCAATTAAAACAAATGATAATGTAATATATCAAAATCATTGAATTGTATACTCTAAATAGGCAAATTATATGTTATGTGAACTTTATCTCAATAAATTTTAATAAATTTCTTAAATGAGGAAACAGATTTTCAAAAAATATATATATAAATTTATATAAAGCACAAGGAGCCCTTCAAAAAATGAAAACCTTATTAAGGTGTTGAGAAAAAAATGAGGGAAGAACCAATAGCTATTCCTTTATGTGTGTGTGTGTATACATAAAATGAGGGAATGTGTGTGTGTGTGTGTGTGTATACATAAAATGAGGGAATGTGTGTGTGTGTGTGTGTGTATACATAAAATGAGGGAATGTGTGTGTGTGTGTGTGTGTGTGTATACATATACACACACACATAAAGGAATAGCTATTGGTTCTTCCCTCATTTTTTTCTCAACACCTTAATAAGGTTTTCATTTTTTGAAGGGCTCCTTGTGCTTTATATAAATTAATTGAAATAAAAACAAACAAACAAACAAACAAACAAACTACATCTTCTGGATGACCTTTAAAGATGGGCTCTTTCAGCCAAAGAGAATTGGTGCCTTGTTCAAACTTTTCATGGAGAAATGTGGGGTGAAAAAAATTTCACAGGTCAGCTTCTCTTCATCTGGTCCTATGTCAGCCTCAATGCTCTACTTGGTCCTGCAAACACTCTGATGCTAGATTTAGAAATGTGGCTGAAACAGACCATCTGAAATATATGCATGCAAATGACCTGTATCCATATACTCTTCATATGGTTAAAATTATCCTTTGATCAAAAATGTACGTCTTATATGAAATGCAGAGTTTTCAAAACTAACAGGCAAATACATTGGAAATATAAATTTGTAACTGGAATGGTTACCTATGTCCCTGTGGATTTCTTAATGAATGTGCTAGCAAGAGGATGTGGGCCAAAGAAGCTTTTGAATTTGAAAAATCTTCAAGATTTTTGTTTTGAGAACTGTATAAACATCCTTTGGTGGGAGTAAGTATATATGTTATTCCAATAAAACCACTTTACTCAGTCAATGTTAGGCATGACCCCTGCCTTCCTCTAAGAACTCTGCAGCCGCTAGGAGAGATTTTTTTACTGAAGGCACTTTGTGATCCTAGGCTGAGGTGCATTTATAAAAGGGGGGGGGTTGAGAGTGGGATTTAAAAATGATATCCTTGGGGTACCTGGGTGCTCAGTCAGTTCAGAGGCCAACTCTTGGTTTTGGCTCAGGTCATGATCTCAGGCTCTGTTCTCATCAGGGAGTCTGCTTGAGGATTCTCTCTCTCCCTCTCCCTCTGTTCCTCCTGCTTATGCCCTTACTCTTTCAAATAAATAAATAAATCTTTAAAAAAAACAAAAATGACATCTTTGGTCAGGACATGGGCAATATGTTTCTGCCATGATGATCCAAAGGAACATGCCACACTCTTAAGGTCCTGGTGGGGTTGGTTCTAGTCTCTGGAAGAGATAAAGGACACATGATGGGTCTCCTCTCATGGCAAAGAGAAAACAGAGTTCAATATTATTGGGTATTTAACTATCCTGGATCATAGATGAAAGGGATATTTAAGACTATGAACCAAAAAAACAGTATTTGTAATGGCTTTGATCTTTGGTTATCAGTAATAATTTCTTCTTAAAAATTTTAAAACCAACTACTATTCACCTTGGAATATGTTTTGAAAAACTAAGCACATGCTCAGATGCTGAAAAGAAAGGCGGCAGCTGATGCATCTGCTGACACAGAGACCCAAATCACTAGTGGAGGCGTGACAATGTCCTGGAAGTGCCAGTGGATATGCGGAGTTCTGAAATAATTTGTCAGATTTGCTAGGAGCACTCTGTTGGTACTGGCCTCTCTCTTTCTAGGAAGATAATTTCTTTTATTACAGGAGCTGGCAATTTTGAGAATAAAACAAAAGAATTATCTATCAACCTTAAGGAAGATGCTCATTTCCTTGCTGTGCCAGATATAGTTCACTGGTGATGTTAATAATGGGAATAACACAATAGCTATAACTTATTAAGTGTTTTCTAATTTTTAGAACCAATCTCTTCTCATGTGTTATTTCATTTGACATATAAAATCTATATTGATTGCCTTTATTTCACCAGTAAGGAAAGTGCCTCGGAAATATTAATTTGCCTAAAGTTAAATAGCTAGAAATTGGCAAAGGTCTTTTGGGCCCAAACTCCAGGCTTTTTGCACTATGCCATGCTGTACTTGTTTCTAATGTGAAAGGTTGTACTCTATCATGTCCCTCTCGAACAGATAGTCTTATTTTATTTTATTTTATTTTATTTTATTTTATTTTCAGATAGTCTATTTTAAATTCATCCTCTGATTGGGTTCATTGAAGTGTCAGAAATTTGAAGTGACAAAGTATAGGAGCTATGACCTTTAACACATTCTGGCTATTTGTTTTTTCCAGTGTTCTGTAACTAAAGTTCATTCTTTATCTCTATAATTAAGATGTTCTTAACTGTCAGGAACAGAAGGATGGGTCACTTGCTTGATTGGCTACCAGTGAAAGACTGGATACAAGATTAGCATGAATGACCTTGAAATATCTCTTTCAGATGAATGGATAAAGAAGATGTGGTTTATGTATACAATGGAATATTACTCAGCCATTAGAAACGACAAATACCCACCATTTGCTTCAACGTGGATGGAACTGGAGGGTATTATGCTGAGTGAAGTAAGTCAATCGGAGAAGGACAAACAGTGTATGTTCTCATTCATTTGGGGAATATGAATAATAGTGAAAGGGAATAGAAGGGAAGGGAGAAGAAATGTGTGGGAAATATCAGAAAGGGAGACAGAACATAAAGACTCCTAACTCTGGGAAAATGAACTAGGGGTGGTGGAAGGGGAGGAGGGCGGGGGGTGGGGGTGAATGGGTGACGGGCATGAGGGGGACACTTGACGGGATGAGCACTGGGTGTTATTCTGTATGTTGGTAAATTGAACACCAATAAAAATTAATTTATTAAAAAAAAGAAATATCTCTTTCATGCCTTGGATAATTTAATGTGTCTTTTTAAATAAGCATTAAATACTTATGTAAAATCTTTAACAATACTGAAAAATATAAGAAATAAGGATAATAGTCCCTGCCCCATCCCAGCAGACTTACTTCCTTGTATGTATTGTGTGGAAATATAGTCGCAAATGAGATCAAACTACAGATGTTGTACTGTGACTTGGTGTTTTCTTAGCAATGTATGTTAGCTATCTCTTTTTATTTTGAGAGAGAGAATGTGTGTGTGAGTGGGAGCTTGATCTCATGACCCCAAGATCATGACCTGAGCTGAAATCAAGAGTCAGATGCTTAGCTTAACTGACTGAGCCACCCAGGTTCCCCTACATATCTCTCGACATTAGCACTTACGTATTTGTCTCATTCTTTTCAAATAATTATGCTTATACCATGGCATGGTTGGAGTGTGATTTATTTAATGCTCTCTTGGTAGTCATTTATGTAGTCTCAATTATGAAAAAAAACAAACCCTGAAATGATGAAATGACTTTTAGTAGGTATACAAGTTTATCTGTGGGATAAATTCCTTAAAGCAGACTAAAGACATATATTAAGTTTGATAGATATGGCCCAAATATCTTCCAAATAATTCCTTGCTGGAAATTTTTCTTTCCAGCAATGGTGCATAAGAACATTTTTGTAGCCACTCAGTAATATTGGACATTATCAACTTTCTAAACCTTTGTAATAATATTATATGATTTTTGGTCGCATTTCTATATATTAATAACAAAGTCACAGAAAGAGAATTAAAAAAATTCTTCTTATAATTGCCCCCAAAAGAATGAAATGCCATGCAATAAACTTAACCAAGGAGGTGAAAGATCTATACTCTGAAAACTGTAAAACATTAATAAAAGAAACTGAAGATGACACAAACAAATGGAAAGATACCCTGTGCTCATGGATTAGAAACATTCATATTGATAAAATGTCCATACTACCCAAAGCAATCTACAGATTCAATGCAATCTCTATCAAAATACCAACAGCATTTTTCACAGAACCAGAATA